TTTTTTTTTCCATATTTAACAATTTTTAACATAAAACAAAATTAACAGTTTACTGCCATTTTTATATGATCAACTAAGAAAATTGATGAGATGGGAAAAATATCAATAGAACAGTGTTAAATGTCCAATTTCTTCCATTCTGAGATTCTGAACACAGTGAATGATTGAATCTGACAAACTGCAATGATATGAGTTTATTTCCATTTTTGACACTTTATTACACAATACACGATAACAAATTAACCATCATTTTTACAAAATCAACTAACAATGTTGTAAAGATGCAGGAAATGTCAAACAAAAACTTTTACGTATCTTATTAGTTTAATAATGAGACTGTTAACATGCCTAAGAATTGAATCTGAGGAAATGTGAAAATATGCTGAAAAGTGAAAAAACAGCATAACTTCTGCAATAATGGCCCGATCATGCTGATTTTCGAACTTGACCTGCGTTTTATGAATATTCATCAGCTCTGTAAATATAAAGCCAAAAAGTAAAACTGCCCTCCACTTATGGTGTTTACAAGGAAAGTGCATGGCGCCGGCATCGGCATCGCCATCGCCATCGCCATCGGCGACGGCGACGACAGACGCAGGTGATGGCAATATGTACAGACACATCTGTGTCTGTACATAAAAATGAGGCCAAATCTTACAGTGCTCTTTTGAATTTTGTTATTTTTTTTAAAAAAGACTTCCTAATGCTGACATTTTCAGTCGGCATAAGTTATTATTCATAATTGTTAAGTCCACTAAAGAATGTCACATCATGAATAGATTTTGTTTGTATTGAACTATTCAGAAAGCCTGATGACCAGATTTACCTTTTCCAGATTGAAACAGAATGCATCACCAGGATGGGGCCTGCCTAGCCATCAAAGTATAATGCCCAGAGTGCCATAGACAATACTATTTAAGTGTTACATCACAGAGTAACAGTGGTTATATACTTAATAAGAAAATAAAATCTGAAGTATCGGGGCCTTTTAATCTTATTTAATATATAAAATGAATAACATATTCCATGTTTGATTTTTTTCATGTTGACTATTCATGGGGTCAATGGTAATATATTCTTGATGGGGGTCTATACCATATGTCCTAAGTAAAAACAATGGCTTTTATAGAAAGCTTTCTTAATTAATGTCTTTCTTAATGTCATTAATTCTTAACTTGGTTGTGTTTTGCAATCGTATCTAATATTTGATATGCTTCCTGAATCGGCTGTGGATGTGTCAATTGTAAAATCCAACAATCCAGGTGAAATCCTTCCAACACTTTTTCTGAAATGAAACAAAAATTGTTTTTAGATCAAACATCCAATATTGTCCATTTGAAAAAAATAATGGTAAGCCTCATTTTTCAGACAAAGTTATCTGACCATTCAGTCATGAGTTTAAATTTAGGATTTTAAGTATATGACAGGGAGGTTGTATGGACAAAAAGTACTCACCTTTTGCTTTTTGGAGGTGGCCTTTTGTCAACCTTGCTGATTATGCCATCTAAAATAGTTGACATATTTCCCGCTGGGGCAGATTGTTTATGTTCTTTGTTGCTTCCTATGTTTACATAATTTCCACTATGTACCTGAGAGGGCATGTCTGAATTAACACTCATAGAATGGGAGTCTAAGTGGTCTAATCTCTTGATTTCTGTTCTTTGCATCATTTTCAAGCATTCATTGCTACTAGATACTGTCTCCCTTTGCTTTGAATGATCATCTCGTATCTCCTTTACAGTTCCTTTAACTCTACTTCTTAAACTGTTCTGGGGATGTTCATCTACAATATCACCTACAACTTGACCTGCCTGTAAAATTAAATGAGTGTACTTAACATGATTTAAGTTGAGAAGTCCTTGTATTACAAAAAAGTAATTGCCTATAAAATTTTATTAACGACACTAGGTGTAAAACCTGAGGAAATAAAATCATCAACAAAAACAGCAGTGAAAAAAACCTTTTCAAGAAGAAAAAAGTTCTCAAATGCTTTTCTTTCATTATTTTAGACTGTCAGATGCAACAGACTGCTAAATAGTAATTTCCCCACTTTATGTAGATCTAGGTTATATTATTTTTTGGATTAAGACTTGCCTCTTTCAGCACCATTTGTGCAGTCTGCATCAGTTCATCTTCATCCATGACATACACTGTATGACAGATTCTGCTCCTTCAATTAACATTATAATAAAAGACAACACACACTTAAATGTCTGCCTTTGAAAGATGGTGTAAGATTAATGCACATAGGACAACCAGTTTGCAGAGGTTTGCAAGAAAGAAAAAAAGGTTAATTTCCATTTAGACAATTTAATTTGCCATTGTTTTAACCTTTTAACTTTGTTTGGTTTACACATGTAAATCAGCAACTTAGAAAAACATTCAAAAATAAGGTAAACATACTGCTGATTGTTGTGAAAATGTTCATTGCTTTCTAGAAAATATTAAATTTATCACTACTGCTGATAGTTTTGAGGAAAACAGGTTTTCATCTCAACATAACCAGCACTATTGAAGCATCTTATTCCTTCACCTTAAATTAAATTGTCCCTATAACATAACATGACATAACATAACAACTGTACAATATGCTGAAACAAGCTGCCAACATGTATTTTGAACATTCTTTGTTTAGCTATACCTATTTTTCAATGTTACCTTTTTACACTTTGTTCAGCAACATCATCAGGGTCATCACAGTCAAGGTCAAGTGTAGAAGATACTTCTGACACATTCTGCATTCCACTACTCCTCTCCATTTTTTTCTTCTTGCATAGCATCCACTTTGGAAGGTCCCTGGTTTTGTCACTAAGAAATACTGTTGGAGTTTTCCTAGGAGTCTGGACAGGTTCAGAGATATTGTGATTTAATTCTGCTATCCTACTACCACGTTCATCGATGGGAGTTCTATAATGTTTGTAGTCTTGTATATAACTAAAATAACAAATGGTTACAGCAGAAATGAAATGTACATTATCAAATAAATGTTTTAACTTGAACAGTTCCAAATCAACCAGTTTGCAATGTTCTTTATTGTAGTCTTATGCATCAAACAAGTAAAAAACGTTATGAAACACATAATTTTATAAACTTATTTCATATGTAATAAAATATCCCAAACCTGAAAAAAAAATTGTCACCAAAGTGCAGAGATAATCAAAATCAATTTTCTTTTACCTTTCCAATTGACCAATATCTCTACAAAAGAGAAACATTTTTCTCCTAAATCCCAATTTAACACAAGTCCATTTCCGATTGGTAAGTGCCTCCTCATCTTCAGCCAAAGGTACTGCTTGGTGGCTCCCCCTAGAGGATGAGCTAATGAAACCAACATCAGCTAACAGTGGAGGTGTAGATGGGGTGGTCACTCCATAACCAGACACCATCTGGAAAACAGTTACTGGCATGATAAATATCAACATAATTTGCTTGACTATACTATAAAGCTGATGAACTAAAAACCATAAATTGCGTTACATCATCTTCAAAATATCCATATGCATGCCTTGCATTATAAGCTGTATTTTTCAATGTTGAACTATTGATGATATGATCAAAAAATTTTAAGTGTTGACATCAGGTAGACTTACAATACTTAAATAAATGGAGCTTACCATAGCTGGATTAGAAAATGCTTTAGATGCCTGAAAAAAAAACATTTAGATTTCAATATCTAGAGAGCTAAAACTTTTTGGAACTTTATTATGTTCTAAGATTGTGAGATATTACTTTCACAAATACCTAAATGATCTTTCTTTCACCTGTTACACACAGATTGTGACTTACAATGAACACATAGCTAATTCTTGTGGATTATATATTTCCTAGGCAGAATGAGAGTATCCATATAAGCTTTAGGCTTCTAATTTTTTGTCTGAGACACTTAAATCTACATCTTACTGACCCAAAGGTCAATCAAAATTTGCAAAAGTCTGGCACATTCTCACTGGTACATGTAATTCCAGAATTTGAAAATATAAAAGCATTCTTACACTCGAGTTATACCTTTATATGCTTAACCCCTGCTGCTGTCGCACAATGCAAATGCTCTTGGGAAGTGTATAGGTAAACTGAGCCCTAAAATAATTCAATCTGTCAATGGTATATGTGTAAATTGTTACAAAGTAATCGTCAGTGCAGTTACAATGAATTGCTTATAAAATGAGACAAGAAAGTTTCATTTACTACAAAATAATGAATTTTAAAACTTTCAAAGTCACAATTCCTGCCTTGTTCTGAAGGCCTAAATGATGCAGTCTCTGAGCAAAGGCAATGAGGTTGGGTCCTAAAGGTTCGGCAAAATCCCCAGGTATTTCTCTGTTTTCTACACAGAGTGCATAGATAGGACAGGACTGAATCTGTTCTGAAAATTTGATCAAGGTATCTTCCATCTGTTGTAGTTTTGACTCCTTTTGATCTCTTCTTGTGCCTAAGGAAAAAAAAAAAAAAAAATATATATATATATATATATATATATATATATATATATATATATATATATATATATGAGAAAAAAAGTGATGCAGTATACATTTTTACATTTTCAGTTTTTTAATGTGCTTGACAAAAATTAATATCATTTTTATCCACCATACAAAAGATTATCAACATGTTACCATTTTCACATATATTGGTGTTCAAGATTTATTTTTTAGAAACGAAAAATGTCAAATTGTCAAAATTTAACCATCTACACTTCTCAAGAATGCCTCTAATCAATCAAGTACATTTTCATGCCCATTGAACTATGTGAATTATTATATTGAAATACCTCTTCATCAACAAAAATAAAATATTTATATAAATGGCCCATTTAAATTCCAGCAGGTTTATCTTACCTTTTCTTCCATCAAAAATGATGATGACCCTCCCACATGTGTACTTTGTATACCAGGCCTCCACAGCTTCCACTGCACCAGTTTCTATAGCCAGTTGTTCAGAAGGTCTAGCATTCAATAATGACTGCCATTCTATAAACAGACCAGGGACTTCGAACTGGAAAAATATTGTTCATATTTATCTGTTATAAAGTTATATAGGAGGACATTGTTTTACAGCACATAGTAAGTACAGTATTATATGTTCCTTAAAAAGATAGTTGAGTTGTATGCCTACCTTCCATCCAGTCTCAACTTCCAATCTCAGACTGATGTCTCCAACTGTACAACCTTCATATTCCTTTGGCATTTCTATCAATGATGGTAATGTTTTGTATCAAAATTTTAAAAAAATGTATTTAGTTTTGTATTGGGAACCATAAAAATACTTACAACTGTCAATGTTTAAAACATTTAAACTCTTATAATTGTTACAAAAACATTGAATTCACACACCAAGGCTTATGTGCATTATGGTAAAACATTGAGAATTTCAGTGGGTACATTTTTTTAATTAACTGAAAAGCATGTTTGGGTATTGTGCTTTGAATAAATCTATAAGGTGAAGTTGACATATGGCAATTAACAGTGCATGGACCTAAACTCTTTTACCTGGCCCATCATCATCATCTGCATTCTTTATACCCCTCAGTGCATTCAACCATGATTTGAACTGATTTTCTGTTGAAGGTAAGTCTTCATCATCTTTCAAGGACTTTCCTGTGAGAAAATCACCAGCTTGTGAAAATGCCTGGGCCCACTGCAGCTGAATCATACCATATTTAGGTCGGAAGAGAATTATTGCAATGCTGCAGTCAGGGACCTAAAATGATACAGTACAAGTAAAAAATATTCCAAGTTTTACATCAAAGCATTCAAATTATATCTTCTGCAAAGTATAACTAGAAACACCATGTACATTACACCAAAGAAAATTGCATTTCAAAAGATTATTAATATATAGTTCATATTTTAAATTTGCTTAATTAAGACATGCTGTATGCTTTACCTTTTCTTTTATGATATGGATGTAGCATTTCCTCAATTTTCTGGTCTTATTTTCACCATCCACAGCAACCTTCTTTCCCTGTTAGAAAATAATAACAATTTGGAAATGAGTGGCAATCAGTTTTGAGTATTAGAGTTGTTTTCTACTGACGGGAAGAGGCATGTTTTATTACTACCAAAATGACCAGCTGGGGCAGTCTGTTTGTTTTGGTACCCAGTGATTAAAATGCACAAATCTTGTCACAATGCTTTTTCGTACATACATATAAAAAAACAAAATGAATAGCCATAATTATTGAAATAAGCCATTTCAAAATAAGAATGAAAACTTCCACAACCTGTAATGTATTTGCTATTTCATATTTTTAAAATGCCTGGGCAAATTAACTACTGTAGCTTCCAAGGACTTACGGTATATGTGTATAACTTCAAAAATACATGCTGCCCTTTTTTCAGACAGACTACAGTGTACAATAAAACCACTGTGTTTGATCAGTGAAATCTCCAGCCACCTCTAATTAATATTATAAGTGAAAAAAAAATTTTTTAACTTGATATTTACAGAATTATTATCAATGCCATGCTTTCACTTAATTTTTTACAGATCAGACCTTATATTTTAGTGCAATAAAACCAGAGTAACAAATAAAATATACTTCTTGATATTTCAGATAGCTCATTCTCTTTGTGTCATTTTTGGAAAAAAATATTTATGTTATTATCACGGGTCATGCATAAACTGATGACGGGCTTTATCTCAGTATTTGTAACAGAATCAGTCATTAGCTGGAAATAAAAAATCACAGGTATACTGGCCTGCTTGTTTGTTTGTGGTCAGGATTTTGGCCATTTAATAATAGAGGCCACAATTTTTACAAAATTGGTTTCAAAAAATTCCCATAGATTGCTATTTGGTCAAGGATGAACCCTATTGACTTTCATTAGGATCATATTTTTTGTCAGAGACATAAAATTTGGCATAGTTTCTGAAGGTATATTCCTCAAATCAGGGGCAAAAAGGGAACCCCTTCAAAACTTTCCCAACATCATCATCTGGCTCTAATCTTGACAAACCCAAGTCATCAGCTACTCCTGCAAGTTCTCCTTGGGTATGTACTTTATAATTTGAAAAATTTTACAAGTCTCTGACTCAAAAATTGCATTAGCTCTGCTTCACTCCAGCTAGAGAAATCTTCACTTCAACTTGTGACCCATAAATTTAGCCCTATCTTGAAGCAACTCTCACAATGTCTTGCACTACTTTGTTCTTATTAGCAAGATTTGTTTGAACCTCAGTTGGCTCCCATTATATGTGTTAGCAATTAATTTACATATCTGGCACATAACCTACCTGCTTCAGCAGTTTTACTACTTTCAATGCAAGTTGTCTTAAACCCAACTGTTTGTCTTTTGCAATTTCCTCTTCGGGTGAGAACAGTACATGGGTACCTGCAAGTTTGTTCTTGAAAAATAAAGTCTTTCCCTGAAAAGAGTAATAATCTAAGTATAAGGTTTATATTGCTTTTCTTTCATTGTGCTTGAAAAGCCGGGTGATCCAGCACATCTGATGCAACGGACATTTGCATAAATGATAACTTTTCATTCAGGGTGGTACCCCATGAGTTTGCACTTTATTTCATTCAACACAGTGTCTTCGTAGGAGGAACACATGGTATATTCTTTCTTTTTGATCAGTTATTTTCACTTTTGCTACTTGAAATTTATAGTTACAGGAATGGCAGAAATGGTGAGTTTTTTTAATACTGTTTATTGATTATCATTTGATTATTAGTGATTATTGTAATTTATCAGTTTTTGTGTAAGAAAATTTAAGCACATAAATCTCAGGTAGTGAGTGTATTATTGTAATTTTCTTTTCTTTTCTTCTTTTTAGTTTTTATATGTCTTGTGAATTCTTTCGTGAAATAAAACCAAGATCCAGTGAACATCTAATGCTTTTCCTTGACTTTAACTTACCTGTATAGCCCTTGCGTGCTATAATAAGTGATATTAAGTTTGATCAAAATAAAATGGACAAAAACTCAGGAAAATGGTCATTTCAATCATGAATCCCCCATCATCAAATCAGTCATGAAAGATACACAATACTGATTCTATGTTATGTACTCCACTACACTAGTCACCTTAGTCATAGGATAAATTGATCTCCACTTGGTTCACAAATTAGCCACAGCTATATTAGCCTGAGTAATCGTACCCTAGCACTCCAATGACACTGAACCCTTTATATCCTCACTATTTCTGCACCACTAATGAAAAGGGAACATACATGTATGTTATGGCAGGTGAGGGGCATGCTTAATTGTCAGAGAGTTGGTCATAAGATGGAAAAAATGCCTTAAAGAGGACAAAATTCTGGGCAAAGTCATTGACATTTTTTCCCTTTTTTTTTTACAAAAAGGTAGAGCTATTTTACAAATGCACTTAGAGGAAGTGTCATGTCGTCTTCATTTGTTCTTGATAATCACTGACAAAGCTTCACATTTGAATTCCAATGAAAACATGTTACACACATTTAGGGGTAAAACAAAAAAGATCTGAATATGAATAGGGGTCCCAAATGTTTATGTGACTATTTAAAAACTGTTTAAAAACCTTGACTTTTTAAAAAGTACTATTGGCACTAATGTAGACAAATGAAGGATTTTATATTCGTTTTATGTGTTTTTTAGTTTCACTGGCCAATAAATTGACAACCAAGGGTGGGTTGTTCCTAGGATCTAACCTCATTAAAAATTACCAATACTCAATGTTGTTGACAAATTAGCCAAATATTTGGATAACTTAGACCACATTACATATGTACACCATAACATTTGATAGCGAAGTGTCAGTGAATTGAGTAAGTAAAAGTTGAAGTTTCTACATCGGCAACCTACCAATTGGTTTACCATCAACACGTATAATCAGCAGTGTCCCCTGGGATTTGTAAGTCCCGCACTGAATATGGCAATATGTGAAAAATGAAAAGTGCACAATAAACTGCATAGCTCTGAGAAAAAAAGAATGCAATCATAGTGGTTTTCCAACTCAATTTTGACTGCATTATCCACCACCATTATCCACGAATATTTAATTATATAATAAAAGTATCATGGATATTCAGACAATGCGACTTCGACTTGCAAAGGTCTTCAAGTCCATGAAAGTTTAAAGTCACACTTTGTAAAAAATTGGCACTTCACCAAAAAAAAAAAAAAAATGCATAACTTCCAGAAAAGGAAAACAATCAGGCTGATTTACAATTTGGGCTGTATTTTATTCTTGTTTCTTTTCTGTTAATTTGATCATAACTGACATGATTATCTTCAATTCGGATGCAATAGTACATGATATCAAACAGCATAATTACCACCAATTTTAATTATGCACTGCAGATTACTTGTGACCAAGTTGAACCAATGCAGTGTTTTTGCCCTCTCTGCTCTTGAACATTTCTATGGAATGGCTTCTTCCCTTTGTTTGGAGCAGTTAGGACATGTAAATTGTCTGTAGAGGCCATCTGTTGTTTTCACTTTGTAGTTGCAAAAAATTTCTTTGTATGGTGCTGTGGTTGGTCCTCGGGGGTTTTCCTTGACCAAACAACCCTGTCTACATGGTATCTCTCAAATACTGTGTCAAGATAATATTCTCCCCGTGCAATTATTGCTCTCTGTGTTTCACTGTAATACCCACAGACGATCTTGTGCAAACTTTTTAGTAAATTTGGTTCATCTTGCACCCTCCATCTGACCTTCATCTTGAGTACATGGTTGAAACTTTCACAGTTTATATTAGTCCAGCCGGGTTTTACTTCAGATCGTGCAGAAAGTATTTGTACTTTCTTCAATCAATGGAAAAAGCCAGCATCAAATCTTGAAGCATTTTCCCTAATGACTTGCAAAGCCTCGTCATGGTGCTGCTCCAGGATCACGAGGGAAGGCGATGAGGTCAACCCCTTCTCTCCAAATATGACATCTGTGTCCACCTTGCTGGTGTCTGTGGTTGTGCCCACCTTGTCTCTTAAATGTAGTATGGCGTTTTCCTTCAGGTGCCGCTGGCAAGACACCAGGTTTGTGCCACTGAAAGCAAAGGATGCTGCTTTTCTCAGTGCTTTCTTTTCATCAGACCCAATAACTGGTGGGCAAACAGAATCAACCAATTCTAATGCCAACATCTGAAAAAACTGGCATATGTCTTAAATTCAGAGTTTCCATGGATAAACATGGGTCCGATAAAAAGTGGATGTGTTCCTGTTGCTCGATGAATGAGAGCTAGGTTTTTGTAAACCATACAGGTGACATTCAGTTGGTCCAAGTCTTATCCACCCCTTAGACAGCACCGTGTGTAGTAGATCCAGCACAACAACATCTTTGCACATCAGCAATTTGCTCTTCTGTGAAAAGCATTATTGTTGGAACTTTCTGGTGCTAGTGAGTTATATATTCTTCTCACAAAAGGATGCTGACGAATTCCACTCTTCAGGTAAAGAAAGTTGCTGACCAGATTCATACCCCCTGTTTAGAAAGTTTTCTTCCGATTGCCTCTTTTTTTTTTTTACAGAGTCCACTAAATTCTGCACCTGTCTTAAATTTGCATGTTTCTCATTTTCAAGTTGAGCTTCCTGGTACAGTTTTTTTGTATATCTCTTTGGGTTTTAAGCGGGCTGCATTCTTCCTTATTGCGTCAAATACAATGGATGACATGGGACAATAAGAAGTGGTGTTCTTTGTTGCATTGCCATGTGGAATTTGGTCTGGGAATTTCCCTCTGTACTTCACTAGGATCACATCTGGATATTTTTTAGTCTATGTTATGCGGCTACGATGTGTGATGTTGCCTTTTAATGAGTTGTAGTTCCTTTGGACATTGATTGTGGTTTCTGGTTGTGGGTCCATCTTGGATTTCCCTTAACTGTATGTCGAATGCAAAAGAGACCATTCCATTTGTAAACTTTCCAGTTTTCATCTTCCTTTGCTAATACAGTTTTAGAGGAAGGATTCTTCTTCCACACCCTACAATTGGCTTCAAAAGCACTCGGTTTTCCTTCTGTAAATCTTCTCACATTATTTGAGTTTGAAACCCAAAACATAACATTCTCTCTAGTACCATCTGAGATGCTGACATGAGGATGGACTTGAGTTTGATTAGAGAGTTTCTACTGCTTTGCTGATTTGGAATAACTTTGTGAAGTATGTTGTACAGGTTTGTATCGGCGAAGCCGACACTGGAAAGTTAAGAAGTCTCATGCAGCTCTCTCCTGTATTAAATCTACTCTAAAACTTTATTCCTTTTAATATCTGGCCAAATAAGAACTATGCTTTGGCAATAGCAAATAGCTCCCATATGATTTGAACTACTTTTGAAAGGAGACATTATTCTAGGTCAAAAACAACTGACATCTTCAATTTTCATAAAACAGTACATTATATTTCACGGCATTGTTATCACCTATTTTCATTATGCATTACGCAAGATCAACTAATTCTTTGTTTTTGCCCTCTCTGCCCTTGATCGTTTCCTTTAGAATGGTTTCTTCATGTGCCGCTGTCGTTGCTCCTTAGTTTTTCTTGCCCACACAACCCTGTCTACTTGGAATTTCTGATAAGCCGTCTCAAGGAGATACTCTCCATGTCCAATCATAGCTCTTTCTGTTTCCCTATAATAGCTACAGACCAGCTCATGCAAGCTTTGGATTAAACTTGGTACATCTTGTACCCTCCAGCTGACTTTCATTTTGAGAACGTGATTGATACTTTCCCAGTTATTGTTCCTCCAGCCAGGCTTCACTTCAGGTCTTGTGCTACTGATTTAGCACTTCCTGAGGGCACAGATTATTCNAACTAACAAGCATGTTTGGGTATTGTGCTTTGAATAAATCTACAAGGTGAAGTTGACATATGGCAATAAACAGTGCATGGACCTAAACTCTTTTACCTGGCCCATCATCATCATCTGCATTCTTTATACCACTCAGTGCATTCAACCATGATTTGAACTGTTTTTCTGTTGAAGGTAAGTCCTCATCATCTTTCAAGGACTTTCCTGTGAAAAAATCATCAGCTTGTGAAAATGCCTGGGCCCACTGCAGCTGAATCATACCATATTTAGGTCGGAAGAGAACTATTGCAATGCTGCAGTCAGGGACCTAAAATGATACAGTACTAGTAAAAAAGTATTCCAAGTTTTACATCAAAGCATTTAAATTATATCTTCTGCAAAGTATAACTAAATACACCATGTACATTATATATCAAAGAAAATTGGATTTCAAAAGATTATTCAATGAATGTCTCAAACTGCCAACTGCATATATAGTTCATATTTTAAATTTGCTTAATTAAGACATGCTGTATGCTTTACCTTTTCTTTTATGATATGGATGTAGCATTTCCTCAATTTTCTGGTCTTATTTTCACCATCCACAGCAACCTTCTTTCCCTGTTAGAAAATAATAACAATTTGGAAATGAGTGGCAATCAGTTTTGAGTATTAGAGTTGTTGTCTATTGACGAGAAGAAGCATGTTTTATTACTACCAAAATAACCAGCTGGGGCAGTCTCTTTGTTTTGGTACCCAGTGATTATAAGGCACAAATCTTGTCACAACGCTTCCGTTGTACATATACATTAAAAATCCAAGATCAATAGCCGTAATTATTGAAATAAGCCATTTCAAAATAAGAATGAAACTTTCCACCACCTGTAATGTATTTGCTATTTCACATTTTTAAAATACCTGGGCAAATTAACTACTGTAGCTTCCAAGGACTTACAGTATATGTGTATAACTTCAAAAATACATGCTGCCCTTTTTTCAGACAGACTACAGTGTACAATAAAACCACTGCGTCTGATCAGAGATATCTCCAGCCACCTCAAATTAATAAGTGAAAAAAAATTTAACTTGATATTTACATACTAATTATCAAGCCATGTTTTCGCTTAACTTTTTACAGATCAGTCCTGTGGTATATTTTAGTGCAATAAAACCAGACTAACTAAGAAAATATCCTTCTTGATATTTCAGATAGCTTATTTTCTTTGTGTAATTTTTAAAAATCTATTTATGTTATTATCACAGGTCATGCATAAACTGATTGTGGGTTTTGTCTCAGTATTTTTAATAGAATCAGTCATTAGCTGGAGAAAAAAATCACAGGTATACTGGCCTGCTTGTTTGTTTGTGGTCAGGTTTTTGGCCATTAATAGAGGCCATAACTGTAAACACTTCGGTTTCAAAAAAATTCCCATAGATTGCTATTTGGTCAAGGATGAACCCTACTGATTTTCATTAGGATCATATTTTTGGTCAGAGACATAACATTTGGCATAGTTTCTGTCGGCATATTCCTCAAATCATGGGCAAGTCTCTGGTAAAGGAACCCCTTCAAAACTTTCCCAACATCATCATCTGGTCCTAATCTTGGCAAACCCAAGTCATCAGCTGCTCCTGCTCTCCTCAGGCATGTACTTTATAATTTGAAAAATTTACAAGTCTCTGACTCAAAAGTTGCATTAGATCTACTTTAATCCTACTAGAGAAATCACTTACTTCAACTTGGAACCCATATATTTAGCCCTATCTTAATTGCTTAAAGCAACTCTCACAAAGTCATGCAATTCTTTGGTCTTATTAGCAAGATTTGTTTGAATCTCAGTTGGCTCCCATTGTATGTGTTAGCAATTAATTTACACATTGGACACATCAACTTACCTGCTTTAGCAGTTTTACTACTTTCAATGCAAGTTGTCTTAAACCCAACTGTTTGTCTTTTGCAATTTCCTCTTTGGGTGAGAACAGTACATGGGTACCTGCAAGTTTGTTCTTGAAAAATAAAGTCTTTCCCTGAAAAGAGTAATAATCTAAGTGTAAGGTTTATATTGCTTTTCTTTCATTGTGCTTGAAGAGCCGGGTGATCCAGCACATCTGATGCAATGGACATTTGCATAAATGATAACTTTTCATTCAGGGTGGTACCCCATGAGTTTGCACTTTATTTCATTCAACACAGTGTCTTCGTAGGAGGAACACATGGTATATTCTTTCTTTTTGATCAGTTATTTTCACTTTTGCTACTTGAAATTTATAGTTACAGGAATGGCAGAAATGGTGAGTTTTTTTAATACTGTTTATTGATTATCATTTGATTATTAGTGATTATTGTAATTTATCAGTTTTTGTGTAAGGAAATTTAAGCACATAAATCTCAGGTAGTGAGTGTATTATTGCAATTTTCTTTTCTTTTCTTCTTTTTAGTTTTTATATGTCTTGTGAATTCTTACGTGAAATAAAACCAAGATCCAGTGAACATCTAATGCTTTTCCTTGACTTTAACTTACCTGTATAGCCATTGCGTGCTATAATAAGTGATATTAAGTATGATCAAAATAAAACAGACAAAAACTCAGGAAAATGGTCATTTCAATCATGAATCCCCATCATCAAATCAGTCATGAAAGATACACAATACTGATTCTATCTTATGTACTCCACTACACTATAGCTAGTCGCCCAAGTCATAAGATTAATTGATTTTACTATGGTTCACTAATTAGCCATAGCCATTTTACCCTGAATAATTGTACCCTAGCACTCCAATGACACTGAACCCTTTATATCCTCACTATTTCTGCACCACTAATGAAAAGGGAACATACATGTATGTTATGGCAGGTGAGAGGCATGCTTAATTGTCAGAGTGTCAGTCATAAGCTGGAAAAATGCCTTAAAGAGGGCAAAATTCTGGGCAAAGTCACTGACATTTTTTCCCCTTTTTTTACAAAAAGGTAGAGCTATTTTACAAATGCACTTAGAGGAAGTGTCCTGTCTACTTCATTTGTTCTTGATAATCACTGACAAAGCTTCACATTTGAATTCCAATGAAAACATATTACACACATTTAGGGGTAAAACAAAAAAGATCTGAATATGAATAGGGGTCCCAAATGTTATGTGACTATTTAAAAACTGTTTAAAAACCTTGACTTTTTAAAAAGTACTTTTGGCACTAAGGTAGACAAATGAAGGATTTTAAATTCATTTTATGTGTTTTTTAGTTTCACTGGCCAATAAATTGACAACCAAGGGTGGGTAGTTCCTAGGATCTAACCTTATTAAAAATTACCAATACTCAATGTTGTTGACAAATTAGCCAAATATTTGGATAACTTAGACCACATTACATATGTACACCATAACATTTGATAGCAAAGTGTCAATGAATTGAGTAAGTAAAAGTTGAAGTTTCTACATTGGCAACCTACCAATTGGTTTACCATCAACACGTATAATCAGCAGTGTCCCCTGGGATTTGTAAGTCCCGCACTGAAAATGGCAATATGTGAAAAATGAAAAGTGCACAATAAACTGCATAGCTCTGAGAAAAAAAGAATGCAATCATAGTGGTTTGACAGCATTATCCACCACCATTATCCACGAATATTTAATTATATAATTAAAGTATCATGGATATTCAGACAATGTGACTTGCAAAGGTTTTCAAACTCATGAAAGTTTAAAGTTACACTTTGTAAAAAAATTGGTACTTCACCAAAAAACAAAATGCATAACTTCCAGAAAAGGAAAACAATCAGGCTGATTTAAAACTGTATTTTATTCTTGTTTCTTTTCTGTTAATTTGATCATAACTGACATGATTATCTTCAATTCGGATGCAATAGTACGTGATATCAAACAGCATAATTACCACCAATTTTTATTATGCACTACAGATTACTTGTGACCAAGTATGGCCAATGCAAGTAATGCTGTGTTTTTGCCCTCTCTGCTCTTGACCATTTCCTTTGGAATGGCTTCTTCCCTTTGTTTGGAGTAGTTGCGACATGTAAATTGCCTGCAGAGGCCATCTCTTGTTTTACCTTCTCAGTTGCAAAAAATTTCTTCATATGGCACTGTTGTTGGTCCTCGGTTTTCCTTAACCAAACAACCCTGTCTACATGGTATCTCTTAAATGCTGTGTCATGATAATATTCTCCCCGTGCAATTACTGCTCTCTGTGCTTCGCTGTAATACCCACAGACGATCTTGTGCAAACTTTTGATTAAATTTGGTAAATCTTGCACCTTCCAACTGACTTTCATCTTGAGTACATGGTTGAAACCACCAATCTTAATTATGCACTGCAGATTACTTGTGACCAAGTATGGCCAAGTTGAACTAATGCTGCGTTTTTGCCCTCTCTGCTCTTGACCGTTTCCTTTGGAATGGCTTCTTCCCTTTGTTAAGAGCAGTTACGACAAGTAAATTGCCTGCAGTGGCCATCTCTTGTTTTACCTTCGCAATTGCAAAAAATTTCTTCATATGGCACTGTTGTTGGTCCTCGGTTTTCCTTAACCAAACAACCCTGTCTACATGGCATCTCTTAAATACGCTGTCAAGATAACATTCTCCTTGTGCAATGATTGCTCTCTGTGTTTCACTGTAATACCCACAGACAATCTTGTGCAAGCTTTTGATTAAATTTGGTACATCTTGCACCCTCTGACCTTCATCTTGAGTACATGGTTGAAACTTTCACAGTTATTATTAGACCAGCCAGGTTTTACTTCAGATCGTGCAGAAAGTATTTATTTTCTTCAATCAATGGAAAAAGCCAGCATCAAATCTTGAAGCATTTTCCCTAATGACTTGCAAAGCCTTGTCATGGCGCTGTTCCAGGATGACGAGGGAAGGCGATAAGGTCAATCCATTCTCTCCAAATATGACATCTGTGTCCACCTTGCTGGTGTCTTTGGTTGTGCCCACTTTGTCTCTTAAATGTAGTATGGTGTTTTCCTTCAGGTGCCGCTGGCAAGACACCAGGTTTGTGCCACTGAAAACAATGGCTGCTGCTTCATCAGACCCAATAACTGGGGGGCAAACAGAATCCATTAATTTTAATGCCAATATCTGAAAAAAAACTGGCACGTCTTAAAATCAGAGTTTCCAAGGATAAACATGGGTCCAATATAAAGTGGGTGTGTTTTCCATTTGCTCAGTGGATGAGGGCTAGGTTTTTGTAAATCCTACAAGTGACATTCAGTTGGCCTGAGTATAAGTCTTATCCACCCCTAAGGCAGTTCCATGTGCAGTAGGTCCAGCACAACAAAATTGTTGCACATCAGCAATTTGCTTTTCTGATGAGTTATTATTCTTACAAAAGAATGCTGATGAATTCCGCTCACCAGGTAAAGAAAGCTGCTGACCAAATTCATACCCCCTGTTGAAAAAGAACTTTTCTTCTGATTGCTTCTTTTTTTTCAGAGTCCACTGAATTCTGCACCTGTCTTTAATTCGCAGGTTTCTCGCTTTCAAGTTTAGTTTCCTGGTACAGTATTTTGTAGATCTCTTTGAGTTTTAAGCAGGCTGCATTCTTCCTTATTGCGTCAAATACAAAGGATGACATGGGGCAATAAGGAGTGGTGTTCTTTTTTGCATTGCCATGTGGAATTTGGCCTGGGAATTTTCCTCTGTATTTCACTAGGATCACATCTGGGTTTTTTAGTGTATATTATATGGCTACAATACGTGATGCTACTTTTAATGAGCTGTAGTTCCTTTGGACATTGATTGTGGTTTCTGGTTGTGGATCCATAGGCATAAAACTTGGCTTTCCTTTAACTGTATGTCGAATGCAGAAGAAACCATTCCATTTATAAACAACTTTACAGTTTTCATCTTCCGTTGGTAATACAGTTTTAGGGGAAGGACTCTTCTTCCACTTCTGTAAATCTTCTGTTATCCTTCTGTAAATCTTCTCACATTATCTAAGACATGTAAATTGCCTGCAGAGGCCATCTCTTGTTTTACCTTTGCAGTTATAAAAAATTCTTCATATGGCACTGTTGTTGATCCGCGGTTTTCCTTAACCAAACAACCCTGTCTACATGGTATCTCTCAAATACTGTGTCAAGATAATATTCTCCCCAAGCAATGATTGCTCTCTGTGTTTCGCTGTAATACCCACAGATGATCTTGTTCAAACTTTTGATTATATTTGGTACATCTTCAACCTCCATCTGACCTTCATCTTGAGTACATGGTTGAAACTTTCACAGTTATTATTAGTCCAGCCAGGTTTTACTTCAGATCGTGCAAAAAGTATTTATTTTCTTCAATCAATGGAAAAAGCCAGCATCAAATCTTGAAGCATTTTCCCTAATGACTTGCAAAGCCTTGTCATGGCGCTGCTCCAGGATGACGAGGGAAGGCGATGAGGTCAACCCGTTCTCTCCAAATATGACATCTGTGACCACCTTTCTGGTGTCTGTGGTTGTGCCCACCTTGTCTCTTAAATGTAGTGTGGCATTTTCCTTCAGGTGCCGCTGGCAAGACACCAGGTTAGTGCCACTGAAAACAATGGCTGCTGCATCATCAGACCCAATAACTGGGGGGCAAACAGAATCCATCAATTCTAATGCCAATATCTGAAAAAAACTGGCACGTCTTAAAATCGGAGTTGCCATGGATAAACACAGTTCCAATAAACAGTGGGTGTGTTTTCCCGTTGCTCAGTGGATGAGGGCTAGGTTTTTGTAAATCCTACAAGTGGCATTCAGTTGGCCTAATTATAAGTCTTATCCACCCCTAAGACAGTTCCATGTGCAGTAGGTCCAGCTCAACAAAATTGTTGCACATCAGCAATTCGCTCTTCTGATAAGTTATTCTTCTCACAAAAGGATGCTGATGTTTATAATTTCTTCAATCAATGGAAACAGCCAGCATTAAATCTTGAAGCTTTTTCCCTGATGACTTGCAAAGCCTCGTCATGGCGCAGCTCCAGGATGACGAGGGAAGGCGATGAGGTCAACCTGTTCTCTCCAAATATGACATCTGTGACCACCTTTCTGGTGTCTGTGGTTGTGCCCACCATGTCTCTTATATGTAGTATGGTGTTTTCCTTCAGATGCCGCTGGCAAGACACCAGGTTAGTGCCACTGAAAGCAAAGGACGCTGCTTTTCTCAGTGCTTTCTTTTCATCAGACCCAATAACTGGTGGGCAAACAGAATCAACTAATTCTAATGCCAACATCTGAAAAAACTGGCATATGTCTTAAATTCAGAGTTTCCATGGATAAACATGGGTCCGATAAAAAGTGGATGTGTTCCTGTTGCTCGATGAATGAGAGCTAGGTTTTTGTAAACCATACAGGTGACATTCAGTTGGTCCAAGTCTTATCCACCCCTTAGACAGCACCGTGTGCAGTAGATCCAGCACAACAACATCTTTGCACATCAGCAATTTGCTCTTCTGTGAACAGCATTATTGTTGGAACTTTCTGGTGCTAGTGAGTTATATATTCTTCTCACAAAATGATGCTTATGAATTCCACTCTTCAGGTAAAGAAAGTTGCTGACCAGATTCATACCCCCTGTTTAGAAAGAAGTTTTCTTCCGATTGCCTCTTTTTTTTTATAGAGTCCACTAAATTCTGCACCTGTCTTAAATTTGCATGTTTCTCATTTTCAAGTTGAGCTTCCTGGTACAGTTTTTTTGTATATCTCTTTGGGTTTTAAGCAGGCTGCATTCTTCCTTATTGCGTCAAATACAATGGATGACATGGGACAATAAGAAGTGGTGTTCTTTGTTGCATTGCCATGTGGAATTTGGTCTCGGAATTTCCCTCTGTATTTCACTAGGATCACATCTGGATATTTTTTAGTCTATGTTATGCGGCTACGATATGTGATGTTGCCTTTTAATGAGTTGTAGTTCCTTTGGACATTGATTGTGGTTTCTGGTTGTGGGTCCATCTTGGATTTCCCTTAACTGTATGTTGAATGCAAAAGAGACCATTCCATTTGTAAACTTTCCAGTTTTCATCTTCCTTTGCTAATATGGTTTTAGAGGAAGGATTCTTCTTCCACACCCTACAATTGGCTTCAAAAGCACTCGGTTTTCCTTCTGTAAATCTTCTCACATTATTTGAGTTTGAAACCCAAAACATAACATTCTCTCTAGTACCATCTGGGATGCTGACATGAGGATGGACTTGAGTTTGATTAGAGAGTTTCTACTGCTTTGCTGATTTGGAATAACTTTGTGAAGTATGTTGTACAGGTTGGTATCGGCGAAGCCAACACGGGAAAGTTAAGAAGTCTCATGCAGCTCTCTCCTGTATTAAATCTACTCTAAAACTTTATTCCTTTTAATATCTGGCCAAATAAGAACTATGCTTTGGCAATAGCAAATAGCTCCCATATGATTTGAACTACTTTTGAAAGGAGACATTATTCTAGGTCAAAAAAAACTGACATCTTCAATTTTCATAAAACAGTACATTATATTTCACGGCATTGTTATCACCTATTTTCATTATGCATTACGCAAGATCAACTAATTCTTTGTTTTTGCCCTCTCTGCCCTTGATCGTTTCCTTTAGAATGGTTTCTTCATGTGCCGCTGTCGTTGCTCCTTAGTTTTTCTTGCCCACACAACCCTGTCTACTTGGAATTTCTGATAAGCCGTCTCAAGGAGATACTCTCCATGTCCAATCATAGCTCTTTCTGTTTCCCTATATAATAGCTGCAGACCAGCTCATGCAAGCTTTGGATTAAACTTGGTACATCTTGTACCCTCCAGCTGACTTTCATTTTGAGAACGTGATTGATACTTTCCCAGTTATTGTTCTTCCAGCCAGGCTTCACTTCAGGTCTTGTGCTACTGATTTAGCACTTCCTGAGGGCACAGATTATGCATTATGCAAGATCAACTAATTCTTTGTTTTTGCCCTCTCTGCCCTTGATCGTTTCCTTTGGAATGGTTTCTTCCCCTTGTTTGTAGCAGTCAAGACATGCAAATTGCCTGCAGAGGCCATCTCTTGTTTCAACTTTGTAGTTGAAAAATATTTCTTCATGTGCCGCTGTCGTTGCTCCTCAGTTTTTCTTGCCCACACAACCCTGTCTACTTGGAATTTCTGATAAGCCGTGTCAAGGAGATACTCTCCATGTCTAATCATAGCTCTTTCTGTTTCCCTATATAATAGCTGCAGACCAGCTCATGCAAGCTTTGGATTAAACTTGGTACATCTTGTACCCTCCAGCTGACTTTCATTTTGAGAACGTGATTGAAACTTTCCCAGTTATTGTTCCTCCAGCCAGGCTTCACTTCAGGTCTTGTGCTACTGATTTAGCACTTCCTGAGGGCACAGATTATGCATTATGCAAGATCAACTAATTCTTTGTTTTTGCCCTCTCTGCCCTTGATCGTTTCCTTTGGAATGGTTTCTTCCCCTTGTTTGTAGCAGTCAAGACATGAAAATTGCCTGCAGAGGCCATCTCTTGTTTCAACTTTGTAGTTGAAAAATATTTCTTCATGTGCCGCTGTCGTTGCTCCTCAGTTTTTCTTGCCCACACAACCCTGTCTACTTGGAATTTCTGATAAGCCGTGTCAAGGAGATACTCTCCATGTCTAATCATAGCTCTTTCTGTTTCCCTATATAATAGCTGCAGACCAGCTCATGCAAGCTTTGGATTAAACTTGGTACATCTTGTACCCTCCAGCTGACTTTCATTTTGAGAACGTGATTGATACTTTCCCAGTTATTGTTCCTCCAGCCAGGCTTCACTTCAGGTCTTGTGCTACTGATTTAGCACTTCCTGAGGGCACAGATTATGCATTATGCAAGATCAACTAATTCTTTGTTTTTGCCCTCTCTGCCCTTGATCGTTTCCTTTGGAATGGTTTCTTCCCCTTGTTTGTAGCAGTCAAGACATGAAAATTGCCCGCAGAGGCCATCTCTTGTTTCAACTTTGTAGTTGAAAAATATTTCTTCATGTGCCGCTGTCGTTGCTCCTCAGTTTTTTCTTGCCCACACAACCCTGTCTACTGGGAATTTCTGATAAGCCGTGTCAAGGAGATACTCTCCATGTCTAATCATAGCTCTTTCTGTTTCCCTATATAATAGCTGCAGACCAGCTCATGCAAGCTTTGGATTAAACTTGGTACATCTTGTACCCTCCAGCTGACTTTCATTTTGAGAACGTGATTGATACTTTCCCAGTTATTGTTCCTCCAGCCAGGCTTCACTTCAGGTCTTGTGCTATTGATTTAGCACTTACTGAGGGCACAGAGCCCCTGAAGCATACCACTAATGACAACCAGATCTTAATGAGTGTAATGTCAAATGAACCTAAAAGTTCTTTGATAAAACTGTTATTAATACAAAACATAATACAGTCCATGCATTAATGATAAAAAGCGGGCAAGTCCACTGGGTTAGTGGTATTATCTATACACTGTAGTTGTCCCAGAATGAGACTTTAGTCCGTTTTCTTAAAAAATAATTTGCCAGTGCACACATTTGCTATATATGTATTGATAATTAATTTGGTAAAATGGAATTTGATATGTAAAGAGCCTTTATTTTAACATAATTTGAACAAATAAAAACAACTTTTTTATGATGAAAAACATTTAGTGATTGAATATTTTCTTTATAAAGTTTTATGTAAATACAAAGTTTTTACAACTTCATGTACAGTTAGAAGGAATTTTTTCACATGCACAAAGAAGACATTTACAAATAAGTATTAATTGACTTCAAGTTGGAACAAAACAATCTTGTAAATGTCACTTGATGAATGTTTGTTAGTTTCTTATGTATACATGTATTAAGTATGTAGAAAATTTTTGCTGTTATCCACATCCATATGCACGAAAACCGCATTACTGGCATGAGAGAGCAATACTTGCCTGAGATGGCATCTAGTCGGCCTGAGGGGACACTGCTGTTATACATGCCAATTGTAAACCAAACATGGCTCTCACGCTAGCTTGCCGATCTAGAAAACTCGGCTGTTATATACTCAATTCATTGAAACATCGTTACCAAAGGTCATGATGTATGTAATGTGGTCCAAGTTATCCAAATATTACAGCAATTTGTTGAGAACATCGAGAATTGGTAGGTTATAGTGAGGTTTTTGCCGAGCAACTTCTGGTTTTCGCGGTTTTCGTATTATCGGTGGACTGGTGTGGCATGTACCGCTCGGAGCGTGAACCATCTGTTCTGCTCATGCGCACAAAGCGCAGGCAAATCTGAGAGACTTCCTGCGTGTACATTCCGTCTTCCTGCGTCGTACATTCCGAGTCATCAATACATTCTTAGCTTTTAATAAACATGCACTGTTCAGAACATACTGCAAATTCAAACATAATCTTTAGAAGTATTTTTATCTTAGATGTTCACCTCTACTGCGATTTCCCTCAAGTGGCCATATCAACGAACTAGCCTAGTAAAATCAATGCAAAAATAGTAGGTCAACAGCTAAATAACGAAGGTCCGTCCACGGTAATTTGACGCTGATTCTCTATCAAAATTACCAATTAACACATGAATTTTACCTAGAAATATCCCCATCATAGTATATGTATAATGAGGTAGGAAATGAACTAGTCGAATATAACAGTACATGTGAATAACAACGGATCATTCACGGAACGTCTCATACACCGTAACACGCATCACGTACAATCGGTCAGGACGGATGGTTCACGTAGAACGGACCGTACAAGTGACACCGGCTAGGAAGAGTAAAACTGACTGCGATAAAAAGGACACAGCCTTTTACTTACAACTGATGGAGGTCCGACGAATAACAGTACTTGCTTTGATAGAAAGTCCATTTTAGATATGTTCAATATATTCTGGAATATCCCCCACTCTTGCGACAAATTGCATGTGCTTGGGCACTATATACTGTAGGTCGAAGTGCTTTTTCATGTTTTCCTTTCCCATTAAAAACATTCATCACATTTCGCTCTTCTTGTTCGCAAGAGCTTTGAGATACAAGAAAAAATTGTGCTTTTACATTTTATAACAGTTTTAAAAACAAATCATACGTAGTAGATAGTTTTATGCATTCGGTTTTTTTTAATAAAGTCAACCACACTGCTATTTTTGACTCTTTCTTTCTTTCTTTCTTTTTTTTTTCAGACTTTCCTGGCGAACACAGCGCCATCTTTAGATTGACTTTATATGGTCGCGGAAAGTTCGGTTGTTGCAGTTGTGCAACTTAGTGGATTAATTTTCTTCTTCTTAATAATTCACGATGATGTAAGTTATAAACCTTTTCTTGAGATTCTTGAGATTACAAAAATAATACATAAAGGCAGTTCTTATGTTGAGTTGATTGGTTTCATACCCATTATACGTCATTAACTTCGGAATCGGAGCTTCCTTAAATTAATTTTTATCCAACTTTTGGGTTTGAGAATATGCTTTTATTTGAAATTTACTGTATTTTTTGGTTCTATAAATGGTTTTATATTGTTGACTTCAGATGAAAACATCAGAAATTCAACTTCATAATGGAGAGAAGGCGTTCAGGAGGAGACTGGATTGATAATTCATTTGGTGACGAGTCGTCTTCAGGGAACCCCGTGGTTAAGCCAAAGCCAAACACTGTGCCAGCCAACAATAATAGAATACACAGTGGTAAAAAAAGTACACTGTTCACAGAGTTGTGGTAACCGAGACTTTCCAACAAACATGGAATTCAAACAGAGCAGTGAAAGTTACAAGATGTCATCAAAAACAAACTGCAAGAATAATAAGAAAAACAACTCCAAATATTATCAGAACCACAACAAAAATGCATTAACGGCCTGCCCAAAAAATGGTTTTCACAACTCCCCCATGGGGATAACTAAGGATTTTATAGATGAACTTGTTGAAAAGGAACAGGTATCAGTGATGGTGGATAATGGGTCATATTCGGAGAAAATCATGCCTCACTTGAACCTGAAGTCAAACAATGCAGAGAGGAATAAACCTCAGCAAATATTAACATCAACTCCCCACAGGAAAGTCAAAAAGCTTAAGGTAGTAAAATGAAGTTGTTGTATTGATATTAGACATCCAATTATTGCTAATTAATTATATGTGGTGAATTTACTTCTCAAATTTGCTACGGCAATACAGCCCCCAGAAAGATTTTGTATTTTGCATTCTTGTCTAATTGTAGGTTGGAGATGATTCAGAACCACCTCATTTGTCCCCAAACACACAACTTGACAGCTTCAATGACAGTGATACCCTCTTAGCTCAAATAGATGTTGCAGCAATAGAACAGGAGCATTTATCACAGAAAACATGTGTAAGAAGAAAACTCTGTTGTTGGATTTATGGAAGCATGTCCCATAAAGTAGCATAGTGTTAATTATGACTGATAACCATCAATCAAAATTAAGGTACAGTATACCAATATTCAGGTGTATTTAATGCATTTGCATTGATCGTCCTTGTCATCATACTAATATATAATACTTACGTATACACATATTTTTGCATTATTGATACAGGTACCACACAAAAATAGAGCATCATCTGGGAATTCTCCACAGCTTAATAAAAATGCAAGAGGTGTGAAAAGAAAAGTCTTTTCCTCGACAGTCTGTGATAATGCATCACATACTGATCCCGAACCTTTTGATAGTGGTAGTGGAAATATGTTTACATCAGTTGAATTGATAACTGACAGTATAGGAGCTGATGGTGATACTGGTAACATGCCACCCACAGCATTTGTACAAAAACATGGCCATCTATCTACTGAGATGACTAAAATAGATTACAATTCTGTTCAAGTGAGTGGCTCAGGGAATAGTGCAATACAGGATGATATTAACCAAAGCAGCATGAACATAAGAGGACATAAAGAATCCACACCTTTGAGTAGACACAAGGAATATGAGAAAGTGACACCTGTAACTACTAAATCATTAAAGGAAAGACTAAAGCAATCTTTACAAAACAATGCAAAAATACCCACACCCCAGAGTTCAAGGGCAGTGAAACTTAAAGCAGAGTCTGTACAGAAAGCTTTAGAACAAGCTGAAAAGATGCAGAATGAGGGATCAGACTATGATATAGGCCCTTTCTTTGGATTGCCTAGTAAAGTCAGAGATCTGCTGGAAAGTATTAGGGGTATAAAAACTCTATATGGTAAGCTGTTGGTTTGAGAATAAATCAGTGGCAAGGTTTTGATCGTAGTTTTGATAAGATTTATACTTCAATGATGTTAGTGTTCAGTACCACATAGCTTAGACTATTATGATAGCTTTACAAAAGTAGCATTATAATGTATTTACCACGGAATCACATTTTATTTGTTTTTGTGTGCAGTCTTTTGGGAAATATCAACTTATGACGACTGATTGCATGTTTAAGCTGAAGGAATTTTCAATCTGATCTTGTGATGTGGAGAAAATGACCCCATTATGAATAACTTAATCTGTTTTTTCCCTTAGAATGGCAGACTGAGTGTCTTAGCCTTCCCCCTGTGTTGGAAGGCAAGAATTTGATCTATTCTCTCCCTACCAGTGGTGGTAAGACCTTGGTGGCTGAGATTCTCATTCTGAAAGAGCTGCTGTGTAAGAAGAGGGACGCCATACTTATCTTGCCATTTGTGTCCATTGTTCAGGAGAAGGTAAAGTGGCCAATCCATGTTTTTTTTCTTTTTAAATTTTTGCAACTTTGATTTTTTTGGGGAAAAAACCCAAAGAACCATACAAACAAATGTGCATACAAGTGTATCAATTAAATACAGTGCAGTATTGCACCTAACATTTGCCTCCAAACAAACTTTCATGCAAAGTAAAGTTTGAAGCCAGTTGCCTTATGTACACATCTTTATGTATTTTTAATTGTCTCAGTGTGGTGATGTAATTGTTGATGAAAAGTCTGTAAATGGTAAAAGGAAATTGTTCAGATACATCATAAAAGTAATAATATTATTATTAATGGAAGTGTATAATTTGACTTGCAGGTTAGGACTCTGTCCCCTTTTGCAGTGGAGCTGGACTTCTTAGTAGAAGAGTATGCTGGCAGCAGAGGTCCCATGCCTCCACGCAAGAGGAGAAAGAAGAAATCCCTCTATGTGGCAACCATTGAGAAAGCAAATAGTTTAGTGAACTGCTTAATAGAACTACAAAGGATGGATGAAGTGGGCCTTGTTGTGATAGATGAGGTACTGCTGCACACATATTAATGAATAGCACATATGTTAAGCCAATAAGGAATGTTATATTTACTGGTATTACTAAATGTGAGACCAATAATGTATGCAATTACTTCTTCTCTGTTACTTATTGCTAATGAATAGAGTATTATAAAACAAATTATTATAATAAACTTCCCCATGTATTTCATTTGATTCTGAAAAAAGAATTTGTGGATGATTGTCTTTTAAATTCTATTGTAGCTCCACATGTTGGGTGAAGGGGGAAGCAGGGGTGCAATATTAGAGATGACTCTTACCAAGATCCTGCATGCAGGAGGAGGTGAGTATTATAGTTGAGAATTATATCCTTGTCTTATAAAAAATTTGTTTTTGTTTTACAGTGATAAACTGTTAGGTTATATATGGTTAAAATACAGAATATGCTTCTAAAACCAGCCTAGCCATGATAGACTTAATGATAGATAGTTTTAATTTCCTTTTGAAAATGGGTCTATACAAAATTTTATTGTCAGACTGCATATATTTTGGCATTGAAGTGAAAATTACTGAACGATTGATGACCATCATTCTTGTCTTCATACCTGCTTTTTTTTAGCATTTGTATATACACTAGAATTTTGTTTAATTTCCTCGTGTTCCAGATGATACTCAGTTGATTGGTATGAGTGCCACACTAAATAACATACAGGATTTGCAGAAATTTATGAAAGCTGAAATATACTCCAATGAGTTCAGACCTGTAAGTTGGAAATGGCAGTAAATAGCCTTGAGACATAATATAAATATGTGATATATATAATCATTTGAGCAGTAAAGAACTGTTATGAAAGTGAATAATAATCATTCCATTACAGCATTATTAGTTGTTGCCTTGTTGTATTAGTTAACTTTATGCAGTTTTTAAATTCTTCCTGATAAAATTATTTATTATTTATGTACATTACAGGTTGAATTGCAAGAATATGTAAAACTGGAAGATAACATTTATGAAGTGAAACCCAAATCTTTGTGCCCTGATGATAAATTGATGCACTCAAGAACAGTTACATTTCCAGTAAGTCTTTCATATGACTGCAGTAAAAGGCATTGTTATGCATTATGTACTACTGTCATTTATTTGCAAAGTTTATATGGTTTCAGTAATAGGCAACAGTTTGTTTTAATTGGAAGAAAAGTGAAAATGGCTTTTGTATTGTATGATGTTTCTTTAAATTGAATAATGGGCATTTGTTTTCACATTGATTCTTTCATGCTTTATCATATACATTGTATTTATCATGTATTTCTAATAGGAAATTTATGAGATTGGATCCTTGTATTAGTTGTAAATGTTGTAAGATGGAGGTTGTGTAATTACAAGACTTTTGTACATTCTAGTACACTAAGGAAATGATCAAATCTGATCCAGATCACATCTGTGGACTTGTTTCTGAAGTTGTACCAGACTTCTCTTGCCTTGTGTTCTGTCCTACCAAGAAAAACTGTGAAAATGTTGCACTTAACATCTGTAAAATGATGCCTAGGTAAGTGTTCTTTGCATATTCTACCCATGGAGAACCATGGTTCTGTTCATATGACATCAACAGAATAAATGCAGTAGGTGTGCTAAATTGATATGTAAAGATATATCCAGAACAAAAAAAAAACAACAGAATAAATGCGTTGAATGTGCAAGGTTCATTTTTAAGATTTTTATCCAGAGTACAAAGTAAAAATCATGTTGTATGAAACCAAGTTTTGTAATGCTGTACTAAAAATGGGGTATTATAAGGGCATTTAAACCAGTTTAAAACCATCTAAATGATGTGTAAATCAATTCGATATGTTCCAGGCACCTGACTGGGGTGAAACGCCCAGAAAGAAAAGCACTGTTAAAAGCCCTGTTGGAAGAGGGCAATGGAGAGGTGTGTTCAGTGCTGAAGAAGACCCTGCAGTTTGGTGTAGCTTACCACCACAGTGGTCTGACCATGGATGAGAGGAAACTTATTGAAGAGGCTTACTCTGAAGGAACATTGTGCCTCCTCACGTGTACCTCTACACTGGCTGCTGGGGTCAATTTGCCTGCCAAAAGGTTTGTATTTTTAAATGTTTTCAAGTTTAGAATTTTTACTTCTTGAATTCTTTAACTTGGTTTTTAAGATAACAATGTGATCAAATTATGACTTAAATTCAGAACGCAAAATTGAATATTCTGTTCAAATGTTACTGTTAAATTAAACATATTCATAAATTCTTTTTTCTTTTCTTTACAGGGTTATACTGAGATCACCTTATGTTGGTAGTAACTTCATCAGCAGAAACCAGTACAAGCAGATGGTTGGTAGAGCAGGCAGAGCTGGCATTGACACCTCTGGGGAGAGCATTCTCCTCATCAAGAGAGCAGATAGACAAAAGGTTTGTATTGATTTTGTTGTTGTTGTTTAGGAACATATTTGATGCAAGGGGCACTTTTTAGGGGCATGAAAAGTGACATGGTTATCACCCATTAAATTTCTTTCTTGCAGATACTTGACCTACTTAGTGGACCCTATGAATATTGCAGAAGCAGCTTGCAATTTGAAGATAAGAAGGGGCTTAGAAGGTTGTTACTCACAACTATAGGTCTCAAGGTAAGTTGGAGTGTTGTTTGACAGGCCATTTGCATATCCCCTATCATGCTAACACATGATTTCAGTAATAATATGCATAGTTAAGGATAAGCTAGAATGTGTTGTGTGTATGTTGACAACAGCAATTTAGTAGGTTGGGTGTAGGTGTCAATCTTCACACCCACGGGCCACCAATACCAATGGGCTTAGGCAGCAGAGGCAAAGCTCAGTGCAAGGCAGCAGTACCTATGGATGGAATGAGAAAAGAAAACTTTACAAAATTTTTCAAAACCTCATTTTCTATTAATTTTTTTCAAGGTCTTTTTATTCAACTAGAGATAAACATTTGATTATTTATTGAACATTGGAATTCATAAATCTTGTTTTTGATCTTATTTTCCCAACACAGAGCCCTCCAAATGTCTTTAACACTTCTTATTACAGATCACACCCAATATAATGTCTGTTATTGAATTTCTGAACAAAACACTGCTTGCTGTTCAGAGCAGAGAACAAGATATTGATATCTCTGAGTTGTCCAGAGCAACTGTTCAACAACTACTACAACATGAAATGGTGGCACAGAGAAAGAATAGCCCAAGTTCTTCAAAGACTTCTGAGGACCTTTCCTTGCCAGCCTTGGAGGTCACTAAGCTGGGAAGGGCAGCTTTCAAAGGTTAGTGTCTTAATATTGTGGAACAGTTATTTTATCTATTCATGTATGTAATTTCTCTTTGAGTAGAAATATCTAAATTCCTGGCTTGAAATTTCCCCCAGATATAATTTACACATAAGAATGGGGCCCCAGTGGAGTGGTTCAAACTTTCTATGCAAGGGTGACTTGCCTCAATGCCTTTCAGCTCTGGCTACAAGGCTGGTTTGCATGCATGGTTAAATAAATGAATAAGTCAGATGTTTTATCATCCAATAGGTGGTGTTGATGTTGACATGGCTAAGCAGCTTTATGGAGACCTGTGTGCAGCACGTGATGCTATGAACTTAACCAGTCACCTGCATCTTCTCTATCTTGTCACACCTTATGACATGGTGCAGCAGGTCAATGTCTCATGGTTGATATTCTTCAAGCAGGTTGGTTGATCTGAGCCCCATAACTTGAAAGCATCGCACATTGCGACCTAGCACAAGTGTCTCGATTCCATAACTCGCCCATACTCTCCCCATATAACACACTGTAGCCTCTATGTGATGTAAGATGCTTTTGAGTTACGGGGCCCTGTTTTCTGTTTATATTCCCTCCTGCCTGTGTGGTATCTGAATAGAGTACCATGCTATCACTTGCACCCCTCTAAGGGATTAATGACCAGATTGTGTCTGATGTGCAGGTTACATACAAAATGAATTTGCCATACAATATATCATTTGTCATGATTGCCAAACATTTATATAAAAGTGACTAAATGTTTGTTTCATTCATAATCATGCTTTGAAAGAACACATTTTTAAGATGTGTACATATCTTTGTGTCTGTCTGAATGTACAGGTTTTTGTTTAAATAGCAATGTGATATCATTTGCAGTTTGTACTTAGAATTTAAAAGAAACTAATAATTCTAATATAAGTGGAAAATATCCTCAGCAATGACTTGTGGGTGGTGTAAACAGAGCATGCATCTTAAAGACGTAGATGTCGTGTTTAAGCACACCACTACATTAAACTGTCTCATTTCCTTCATACAACACATTTAGTGAAAGTTGTATGGCTCATTGGAGACAGACAAAATTTCATTATTGCTAAATACTATAGACTTTACAAAATCTAAGAATAGCTTCTTGGAACATAAGTGATATCATTTTTACTTAGATATGTACACTTGCCACTACTTGATGAAGTTTACTGGTATTTTATACCTTTAAATGTGGTTTCTTATTTTCTAGTTTAGCAGCTTGGAATCCACAGAAGTTAGAACAGCTGAATTAGTGGGGATTACAGAGAGCTATCTAGTCAAGAAAATAGCTGGACAGAGGGTGAAGGAGGTATTGATTTTCATTGTGTGCTGCTGAATACAGCACACAATAAGACCAAATTATGTTATGTAACACTTTCATTGGGGTGATATCTACAGTTATTATTTTACCAAATTCAGTCAATCAGATTTTAAAAAGTTGAAATATGGATCCACATTTGAAAACTCATTAGAACTTTCTAACATTCCCACCTTCTTAATAGCTCTTTCGCCATTATTATTCCATAATTTTTACAGTCAGAAGAGCAAGCTTTTAAGGCGAATCGATTCTATATCACACTGGTGCTGTACGACTTGTGGAAACAGAAGACTATATGGGAAGTTGCATCTAGATACCAGATACCCAGAGGGACCGTGCAGAACTTGCTCCAGAGTGCTGCCACCTTTGCCTCATGTGTCATGCACTTCTGTGCTGAGCTGGAAGAGTTCTGGGCATACCAGGACCTAATGGGAAATTTTGTTAAAAAACTCTCATTCTGTGTTACCATGGAGCTGATTCCATTGATGGAGATACCTGGTGTCAAACAGGTGACTGAGTTACGTTTGTGTGTTTTCGTGCACGTGATGTGTCGTATAAATGCATGTATGTGCATGTTACATTTTAATCACAATATTTTTAGTTGAATCCTAAAAACTGCAGAGTACATTGCTATTTAACAGTAACAGAATGATAATCAAAATTTGTGCAACATTTTGCCTTTATGTCTACATCTCAGCTCTTCTCAACACTTTATGCTTGTGTGTTTTAATGTAATTCAGGGCCGTGCCAGACAGCTGTATAGTGCAGGGTATAAGACCTTGCAACATGTGGCACATGCAGATATTGAGGACATGGTAAAAAGCATTGACCATCTGTCTCGGAAAGTAGCCAGACAGTTGACATCAGCTGCTCTTGTAAGTGTATGTTTGTGACATACGAGAAACAGTGTAAGTTATGCCCATTTTATTAAGCCAATGAGAAACATGCTGTGCAGCTAATTTTCAGTGACCTGAAACGGCCAGTAATGTAAATTCAAACTGTGGATTCAAAGTATGTTTTCACTACAGATAATGAAAACTTACTTGTTCTCCTATAGATGCTGTTAAATGAGAAAGCTGAGGCACTGAGAACAGAGGCAGATGATATGGTAATGGTACCAGAGCAAGTAGTACCTAGTGCCAAGGACAGCCCTATGCCAAGCAGTGGAGTATCAACCCCAAGCAGCAGTGCCACATTCTCCCAGCCACTGTTTAGCCAGGAGTCTTTGTAAACAGCCTTGTGAGCAGGGGGCCACAGGAATCAGGAAGAAGGAAGACACACTGCTGAGCACATTCCTATACTAAATGATACTTAAAAATGACGTTCAAATGGTTTAAGAGGGTGCTGTTATTGCTATTAAATAACCTCAGTATAGTATTGTCATCTCTCTATGTAGTGTGGAAAGTGTGTAAATCTGTTATTCACAGAGTGCTGAATTGCTGAATGTCCCGACATAGTATATTGTTTTTGAATCAGTTTTGTAGAATTATAATGTCAGACAAATGCTCTGTGATTATTTCAGACCATGGTTTAAAAATATAAAAACACTTTGCAAGGGTTGACTTTATCGAATTTGAAGTAATTCTTTTCCATGGTCACATGGGGACCTTCTCCATCATCTTCAATGATGAGGTTATCTGTGTTGCAGAACAGGAATGATAAATGAGCTAAAAGCTTACTTCATTTAATTCTGTTGTAATGTTCGCCCTCCTATCTCAAATAAAAAAGGTTTACAGAAAAATATGGCTTGTTTATTTAATTTACAGTTCCACTATCGGATCAATTATCTTTGAAAACCAATTTGTATTTTTAGTACAGATCAACTCGTAATTCACAAGTGCAAATAGAAGATGATCACTCGATCTCATCATGATTAGATTTGCAGCCAAAAAGTCTGTATGTTAGTAAGGTTTCTGTAACTTGTTATGTCCTGGCACTTTAGTATGCAAGCATTTTCAGTAATTAGGACTGGTTTCCCATACCTAGATTGATCCATCTGGATCGGTCCAACTCCCTGGGGAGTCTCACTAAATTGCTATCAACTGATCCGGCTTAAATGTCTGTCATGCCTACCGAATCAGCTAGGGTAAAGATAATTACCCCCCCCCCCCCTCTCAACAGCTTTACTGGGTGTAACAGGCATTTAAGCCAGTTAGTTTGATAGCAATTTAGTGAGACTCCCCAGGGAGATAAATCGATCCAAATTACCGTGGGAATGGCCCCTAGGACGCTGTACAGGCTGTCATTGGTGCTGTTTTCAAGTGGACTAGTTTGCAGCATCCATGTTGGATCTCCCATATTTCATAATGCCAGTGCAGTTACACATATTTCAAGTCCCTTGATTTAAAGTTGTGTCAGTTTATATGATAGAAAAGCTTGATTGTCCCAATCACATATCTGTACAATTCCCTTTAGTTTCAGCAATGATTACTTTTTTTAGTGCTGGAGACATTGACTGAAACTTAATGTGGTCTTCACTGCGTTATGCTTTTAGACTGAAAAATGAGATGTATCAAACTATAACTACACTTGGGAAATGCACAGTTCACCTTGGGGTGAAAAGTTCATTTGAATGTCAAAGGAATCAAATAAAGGTTGATAACTTGGACACCATATGAATTCATTTATAAAAAACTGCTGAAGGTAGCGATAAAAAACATGATGCTTAAGCATCTGGGGTCATTCTTTGCCTCCTTGTCCCCATCTCTGCATCACTCAAACTGCTAATGATAAACCCTGCATGTACTTTTAAACAGACAGCGGTATAATTACACTAATAGAAAGCTCTGCTTGCCATATAATGGCCAGATCAAACACTTTTTAATGGAGTGCAAATGACGATGAAAGGACTTGCACTTCATGTTCACGGCTCTATAAACCCGAACCGACTCGATTCGAAATTCGGTTTCCCATTTTATTGCGTGTTTGTTGTTATTTACATTTGGCATTTCATTTTAAAAGACAATTTCGTATGCGTTAATGTGCAGTTCATATTAAGCTTTACCCTAAAACAACTATGTACACATGTATTTACAAAAACAGGACATGAACGAATACATTTATAATTTTGATCACAGTCTCTAACACTTTGGAATTATGCAGATTTCCTAGCAAATGTTTTGATTTTTGAAAATCACAGTAACTTCGTAGAGATTCTATACACTAGAAGGCGATGAAGAAATAAGGGGATAAAATTAATGATAAGGAAATGTTTGTGAAGTATTCTAATCTTATGATCCTTGAGTAATGAATGGCACCTTGCGTCTAAAATTAAACTAAAGATTCTTTTTCAGCTACATTTGCGGTGGCATCTGCGGTCTCCTCCTCTTCCTCCACATCGACGTTCACGTAGGCCACCTGACCGTTCACTTTGTCCGTGGATGGGCTGTAGAAACTGGGAACGCTGTGGTAGGTGCTGAGCGTCCCCTGGGGCACGGACAAGAGAGGGGACGTTCCCCCAGAGGTGCCCTTACATTTGCTGTTGCTGTGACCATCGCTGCCGTCATATTCGTCGTCAACGTCGTCAATATCACTGGTTTCTTCCTCATGAACTTCCCCGCAGGTGGTGTCTGACCTGTCCTTCTTGGTCTTGAATTCCAACAGGAATGGCGCTTTAAAGATGCTGCTCAATCGCTTTTTCTTCTGTTTATGAGGCCTTTCGTCCACCTCCAAGAATTCGGAGCTCCTGTATTTCTTGCTCTCCCTGCGTTTCTCATCGGGACTGTTGCTGCCGGTGTCTGTAAAATAAATGTCTTTTGTTTAACTTAAATAATACTCTTCGTTATAAGTACTGTTTTTATCGCAGAGATTTCCTGAATCGCAAAAGACTAGAAGAAGGTTCGAAGCCAAGCTTTGCCTGTTTCATGTCTCTTGCTTTACTGCACAGAAAAGAGAAATATAAGTTTGAAATGTATAAAAAGACGATCCTGAATGTCAATATGAAATATTTACTGGAATAAATTTGGAATGTTTGATCATGGTTATCAATTGGTTAATGAAAGCAGCTAGCCTTTTTTTACGGAGATAACATTTGTGGAGAAATAAGGAATTGGGTTGCAGTTTATATGCCTTCAGATTTCAGTATCACGACACTAAGCCTCAGGTTGTAGGGGCTTAACTACCTGACCGCAGTGACGCCGATTCTTGGATGATTTGGTTCATGGCTTTCACATCTTCCTCCTGCACGGTGCTCATCATGTTAGCGTCCTTGCCGATCTTGCTGAGCCGCTGTGCTGCAACGCTCTCCAGTGTTCTACGCATCAGGGGATAATGCTCCAGTATCTTATTGAAGTCCTCCACTGACAGAGAGAACAGGTTGCAGTAGGTTTCAGCGTAGACGCTGGCCACGCGCTTTGCGTTGGTGAGGAGACAGATTTCTGAAAATTAAAGGTGTAAAGGTGTTGAACGATTTGGAGTACTGATTCGTAATCTCTGTCAGTTACAATTCAACAAAGTTTTTTTATACCTCCCCCATAAAAAGAGAATTTAAAGAATGCTGTCAAAAAACTTTTCCACCATCCTTAATTACAATGTGTTCTGATTAGTGGCTTTCGTGTAGCAAATGATCACTTTACAAAACATAAAATATAACATGCAATATTACAGTCAAGGTGCGGAGAAGGAAAAAAAAACGAATTAGCCTATAGCGCGAGTGCAGCGAATTCATCCTGTAAATTGATTCCAATTTATCTCTCACAAAACAGAAATCCAATTTAAAAATGAGGTCAGGCGTTTCGGTTCAAGTAATGGGTAATTGCTTTTGATACTGCATAAAGTCACAATGGCATATCTCGGAAGACACACATATACTAAAAGCCCCATGCAGAACCTACCCCCAAAGTAGGATCCATCCGACAGACTAGTGGCTACTTCGCCATCTTTGGTGATGATATCGACTATGCCCTCCTGGATGAAGTACATCTTGTCTCCTCGCGTTCCCTCTTTGATGATGAAGTCTTTAGGCTGGCACACCTCGTACTTAAGTTTTGAGATGACCTCTGTGACAAAGTGCGGGTCGGCATTGGTGAAGAACGGCACGTTGGCAACTAATGCCCTGCAGTTGTGATTAACAACGCTCTGTAAGGACAATTCGCACATATTAGTATTTGGACAACTGTCGTAAATATTTTGATTGTTTCATATACAGATTTACTGATTAACTTTGTTTTAATTTGCAATCAGGCAAAGCCATTTTTGATATACTTTGGATATAGTTCGACCTCAACGAGAATATATGTTCCAAAATAAAGTAAAATTCTGTGCAAAATGCAAAATGGTATAAAATGTCCCATTTCATCTCATGTCATCAATTTAATAAAGTTGGACGCATTCTTTGCAATAGGATATTCTTTATCAGTAGCGTTCTTAATGTTATTTACTTAGACACTAAGTAATTAACACAGAAAGACGCCTGATGTGATTACCGACTTTCCTAGAAAGTGAACGATATAAATTTGATTACAACTTTATAGTCCCATTTCACACTCACCTCACGTAATGTCTCCGAGAGGTCGTTCAATATTGCATCCTCGTCAAACATCTTTCCTCTATACTTATGTTCGTAAAAATCTGCAATCTTCCCCCTGAGATCACGCGGGAGGCGGCGGTAAGACATGTATTCTTCAACTTGTTTATACTAGGCGAATAAAATATTTAACATTTAGTGAAAATAATGGGCATGGGTAGAATTTATACGTTATGGCAGTTTGATTCTTTTTATTGCATGGACTTTATCCAATACGAGAAAATTGGGCTCTGGTTTCAGACGTAGGCCTACATGCAGTGACACAATTATCCAAACATACGGAAAGAAAAAAAAAGAAATACGAAAGCATGGGTTCGGACAACAGCAGCCCAATGGCGATATTCACTATTGGTTATAATGGCATACATTTTGCGATAACGACTGCCAATATTTCTGGTAAGATCTGAAGCAGTACCTTTTCTCTAAACAATCTTCTGCCGGTGTCAAATGACTGAATCAGCGTAGTGGCATGACCAACGAAGAGCGCGTAGCACGTGGCACCAGTCAGCATGCTGATGATGGTCAGTGTGACGTCAGTGACGTTCTGAGGTGGCCAACGACCGTATCCAATGCATAGCATGTGGGACAATGCCTTAAACAACGCCCATGTGTATTGTTCTTTCCAGTCGGCTTTCTGAAAATATTTATGAAAAGACCTATTTGTGAAATACTTCTCTCTGTTTGTTATATTTGTGTCTTAACACACTAGAGACCCATGGGATCGAGGTCTATGGATGGTTGCTAACCTTAAAAAAAACAGGTCACGTTAAGTATTTAAAAACTTGCGTCTTTTACATAAATGGGCTTACCAGTTAAATTAGAGAACGTTCAGAGCTAACTTTTACAGATAAATTGTTTCCTTAATGATTGATTTTGCACTTCCCTATGTACTTTGGTATGTCTCACTATAATGCATACCGCTGAGAGAGAGAGAGAGAAAGAGAGAGAGAGAGAGCATAAAGAAAGACACATTGTACGAAGGGATACAGCTACATGTAGGCCTACCACTTTTCAAAATTTCCTTTGATATGCTTTTCAGGGAAATACATTAACTAAGGTATGATCGCATTTAACGTTAAGGCATACGTGTCATAAGTAGATATGATGAGATGCCAAACTTTCATCCGTTTCCCAACTTTGGGAAAAATAAATACTATATTTATAAAAACTGCATCTTAATCATTGCTTGGAATAAAGTAAATCCTTTACAGTATAAGCTGTAATTCCCAGGATAAAAAGAGATTTAGTCTGAAAGTAAAAGTAAGAATCTGGTGTACATATTTTATGGTTTGAAAATGGAAGGAGCGCTACCGTTCCGCCACAAGTTTCCCCAGCCAAGCCTTTAAAAGCAATATCAAATCCCCATTTGAAAATACCACTTTGTATGGCAATATTGGACAAAGACCCCAAATCTAAGAAAGTAATTTGATTGCCAATAGTGTGTGATTTGAGACAATCCTTTATTTCACTAGTTTTAGTGGTTATTGCACGCTTGTTAAGTTACGTTCACTGAAACCAAATCAAATTATCTGAAATGTTATTATGAGCGCAAGGAATGTACAAATTGGCTTCATCTTCTTGGATTGAGGAACTTTGCCTGGATGTCTTTTTCTGTGCACGAGTCATCAATATACCGTTATAATAAAACAAATGTAAACCGGGGACTTTCCAAATATGGAAAAAAGTATATTTCCCATTTATCTTTTGAAGTTGAGGCTTTGGTTCTGACAACTTTGGACAGTTTTTTCACACGGGGTATTTGAACGACTGTATGTAACATGGGATGTAATACGAGGTAATGACGAAAAATAAAACCATACAAATCAAATCTGAGTCATCTAGTATGTACGAAATCTTTGGGCTCCTTGGTCAAAAATTTAAAAAGTTTAGAACACGAAAAATGTTTTTAGATAGAACTTAAAGTGGTAAGCTTTCCAGCTTTTTCTAGTAAAATGAAGGATCTGGTGGTTGATCTGTTTTGGAATGTTTACACTGGGCAATCAATAATACTGAAGTACTTGTGAACTTTGCTGAATTCTAAATCTGATGTGAGTGGCTTCATCAAGGTAGGCACTTGAAATTATTATGCAATGATATAAATGAAAGAATGAAGACTAAAACTTCTGTTATCAAATTAACAGTGAGGCAATTGTTACCCACGCAGTAATGGCACGACTTAACTCCGAGACTGTGCGCAACTAAACTGCAAGTAATCAATTTATACTTATGAAGCAGCAAGTTAAGAAATGCTATTTAATTTGATTTGTAACTGTTTTCAAAGCTAAATCTGGCATAAATGAGTAAACGTCTGCAATCAAGGCGCGCCTTATTTGCTGATAACAGAATTGGTTTTTACGGCTTAAAGCAAGTGGACGCAATAGTGACGTTGCCCATTTTAAAGAGTATAAGTTGGTATGATCGAATAAACATCTAATGTCTAAGCTTTACTGACAAAAATTTACTCCTCAACAATATCCGTATATCAATTTTTAAGCCCACACGATATCTTTAAATGACAGTTTCTATTATCCTTGCTACCATTTGGTACCATGGGTAGGCCTACTGCATTATAAACATTTTAGTATGAAAATATGAAATAATCCAAAATTTCGTTTACCGCAAGTTCCGCAACCTTAATTTTTTAAGTTCGATATAAATTAGCTCAATATTTCTTTTACCTGAAGTTCTTCCACGTGTTCCATCGGCGTAAATCAAAAATATTTTTTTAAAAATGAAGTTCTCTCAAAGTTCTCTTACCGTCAGCTCCTCTATTGCTACCCAGCAGTCCGGTGGGAACTCTTGCAACATCGGCACTAGGTACTGTAAACAGCCATTCCAGTGACCCAGTAGCAGCATCAGGCAAATCAAATTGAAGATACGGACAACCACACCGGCGACGCTGAGAAACTGAAAGTTTCAATTTCAATCATTAAAACGATTTCCCCTGTCAATATGACAACATAAAACAATGAAAGTCACGCTGTCGTGATGAAAGAATATGAATCGCTGTCTTTAAGAATATCACTGTAAAACAGGCTAGCTCGTAAGAATTGACGTTTGCCTTCACTTTCCAAATCCTATTTATTCTCAAACATCATTGCTATCGTATATGCGCCTCATAAAAAGTCATTGCGCTACTAGCTTCACGGATAAAGATTATATTTTCAAGACTAAAAGGTAAAACGTAAAATTTGGCACTGCCCTGATATAATCGCGGTTTTTCAAGGCCTTTCTGATTAGAATGACCCCAAAAAGAAAAGGACATTGTATTTTGGTGTTATCTATTCTTATTCAGCTGGAAGAATACAGGTCAATCATCAGATGGGGAAAAGGTCAGAAGCTTATCATACAATTAAATACAGATTTTGATGGGCTACAGCATGTTAGGACAATAATGACATTAATTTTCTAACTGTAGTGAGATAGAAAAAAAAATGATGCACAGACATAGTACTTCGTTGAATTTACTGAAACTAATTGAGTAGCATGATACATAAAAAAGTGCTAAATCGTAAAACATCAAACATTTGAAAAAGTAGAAAAAATACGCTCTGATCAACGCCACAACGTCAATCCAGTCATGCGATTTAACCCCCTTGCTAGGTAAATTGATTTTTTGTCCATCTATCTAGAAGAAGTTAAAACAAGACATTGCGGTAATGCCTTGTACGATCGATAGACATAGACTTAAACCATCCTTAAATTTTGCTTTCTTTTTGATTTTGGACCTTTTCATAATTCTGACATTGGTCTTACAGGGGAATGCTTGAAAAAAAAATAATTTAAGAAAATCCATATGAAGAAAATAAAAATGAACAAATTCATAAAAAATGTAAGATTTTTAGCAAAATTATTCTTCATTCTGTATAAGATCTTTAAATATATGCTTGACATTCCATTCAAAGATGCAGAGATCTGCAAAGGTGCAGAGAAAAGTAGCATGCGAAAGATTTACAACGAAACCACACACTATCGCCACACCACATTTCTTCGACGAGATGCTCCGCGAACTGCATGAAATGAGAGTGAAGCAGCCATTAAACCTAAAGTATCACACAGAAGCACCCCCAAAATACATTGGTAACTTAAATCACAATCGAGCAAAGAAATAAAATAACGAAAAATCAAGACCACCTCTGCATTATTTTGGCATACTCAGTTGCATTGCTTAACCTACCTAGGCAGAAAAGTAAAATATTAAATATGGAAATTGAAAATTTGAATTTGGGTTACCGGGACCATCACATTACCGATTTTTTCCCAACGCTTGTCCCCGTATCGAAACCATCGCCTAGGAAGAACTACAAATCAAATCATGATTAATAAAATAGTTGATGGCCAGGAGCACAAAAGAAAAACTGTTATATTGTTGGTTTGTTTCACAACATCTTTCCCCATAATTTTTAGCTCTGCCTGGTTTTCATAAAATACAATGGAGGAATTACCATGGGAGTTGTCGCTATGTGACGTCATGCATGTTCATGCAGAACCATGTGACTGACACCTTTCAAAAGTGTTTTAAAGAAGAGAGAAGCAATTAAATTTGATATAGGTTATGCAATGTCTGTCTATCAACATGCTAGTTTTGATAGCAGGATTAAGTATTAGATTCCCACAGCTCCCAAAAGCAAAATATAGCAATAGCCTCACGCAAACATTTGCTGATCATAAAGAATAAGCAGATTGTGGAATCAATTTTCCAGTCTGAATAATGAAGGAAATAGAAAGACTCATATTGGTAGATTTTTATAAGGCCATGGCCATGATACAAGCACTAATGGTATATTCTTGAGAAAAATGACCAATTTGAAACTAAAGTGACAATAATTTAGTATCACATTTTCAAAAGAGAGTGTTTTGCTTCTTCCACAGAATCTCACTTATCTATAAAAGGTGTCAATCTTTTATATGATAAGCGAGAACACTATATCGGAGCCTTGTGAATTGTCGCTATCACCGCCTACAGGTACATGTACGCCTCGCACGCGCTCAGCTTACCTCTTCCCACTGGCTGACGTAACGCACGAGGCGGGATAACCGGAGAAGACGGAGGAGACTGAGTAATTTGGCAAACCGGAGGATACGAAGTGCACGTCCTGAAATCAGATATTTTAATGGAATTACCTTCCAGATAGAAAATGGCGAGATGTTTTTGTTCTTATAGAAATGTCTTTAAAAAAATAGACGGAAAACAGAAAAGTACGTTATGATATATCTAACGTATTGGAAAATGGTACTGAGGAATGGGTTGCAACTGTTTTAAATGATGTATGACTTGACGCAGAAAAAAATTCGGACGCTCCAAAGCAAAATGATTTGAGAAAAAAAATCCCTCTCAAAGGTCATATTGATAGAATGGCAAAAGGAAAAAGCAATCGTTAGGAAAATTTACTCTCCCACGGCCGTATACGTTCCTGATGCCCATATTATTGCGCCCAAGTTCGAATACAGGCGATGGCTGGCCAACTTCACTTGAAGCAGTTGTATTATTCAGCTGCCAAATTCGTTTGATGCATACTTCAAAATCGACGGAGTAGACAGCAGTAATTTATTAGACGTATCAAACAGGGTTGTTTCGCATGACCGACATGAAGCGTTGTTGGGTTGATAATAACGCACATTTCTTACTTTTTCATATATATCAATGATGACATAAAACTCCTAAGTTATTAGACGTCTACGGCATTAGGATAATGCTTCAAGTGAAGTTGGCCAACAAATCTCTGTATGTGAACTTGGGCGAAATATTATAACTATAAGTGGCCCTGTGGTGGAGATAAAAGTGAAATCATTGTGTTATGTTACAGGTTGTTGGAAATTTTATGATGGCAGACAAACAATCAATTGGAGGTGCTGGAAACTACACTGCAGGATTCGAATCAATCTCACAGATATTGGCACTTAAGTCCCTGAAGATTTTTCAAAACTATCGAATGTTGTGATTAATTTCACACGTGAACAACCCGTGTCTCACCTGCTTGCATAAGTTGATTGACATCCGGAGTGTTTGGGTCAAACATAAGGAAGATATAGTCTAATGGCAAGGAGCTGATGAGGTCCAGGAAGAACCACGATTTGATGTACGATATAGCAATCTTCTTGGGCTCTAAGATGATTTCGTCTGCATAGTCTGCATCTAAAACACCTGATAAAAAAATATAATTTGATTGAAGTAAAAGAAGAAAATGACAAAATATTGATTGCTTTTCATATCTTTGTCTATAATGGCAGTTTGAACCAAGCTCAAATTGTTCAGACAGAATGTTAGATTTTCCCATTTACATGTATACTGTACCATGTGAGTTAATATTGTAATTGAAACCTTTGTGTATGTTGAGGATTGAGAAAATTAACTTCGAGATATTGTCAACAATATTATGACAATGAAAAACAAATCAGGAGCCACGTACACTGTAGAGAACAATGTTATGACACTCGACTGAAAACAAAGCAATGCTAAAACACCTTTTTTAAGAATTTCAGAGAGATGCAAGACCAGTCTCTAGATTTACTGATCGGTTTTGTCGACACATATGATGGAAGATCTATTGATTATCTAATAAAATTTTAGAAGACGTAGCAGCAATGTAATGAGGTTTGTTTCAATCACGCAAAAATGAAAACGGACGGCGAGGTTGCAGGTACTCTAGATATGTATTTACAATAATATGGCTAACTGACTGAGGCTTACATTTTGTAAATATGAGGGACAGTCGAGCCTTAAACAAAATCTATAGCATCATTTGTCTTTCGGTACGTGGACTTCAAATACTCATAAGTCTGCAAAAAGAAAACGAAGCAGTATGATGAAAGTAAACTTATATGGTGATACACCACAGTAGAACACTAGATTCATCCTTGACGGCGACAGCATTAATGTGCACTATATTTCGGGGCAAACTGCGCACCTGCGTGCATTCAATTCCATTTATTGCATGGCTAATTACTGAGAAGTTTAGACCCAGAGCAGCTAATTTGAGCAATGTTATATCGAGTAAGACGTGTATTCCAAAGAATGGAAACCTTACCCCATATTAATATTGTTTCCCTACAATGATCAAATGTCATCGGAGATGGCAGTATAACATGTGCCAGCCTCGAAGAATATTGGCTTTTACCATGTATCAATCGGCTTTATTGCAAGCAATACATTTCTATTGTCACACAAGAAGTTGCTCCTTAAGTGAGCAAGAAGCAGCATAATAGACCCAACAAATGTCCATTCACATCGATAGTTACCTTTGAAACGCCGGGCTTTTAATACTTCCATCAAAATCTCATTGCGCGTCCCAGCGGTGCATTAGTATAGTTGCCACGCACCAGAATACATTCATTATATTTCTCATCTGTAACCCACGACGAAACATTTGTTGAAAAAAAGAAGAGAACTGTGTTGCAGTGTAATGGTTTTGAGACATTTTCATATCTCCAGAAGTAGATTAAATCCATTTCGTGTCTTAAAATAATCCATCCAGGTTTTTAGAAGCCCTACAGAAGTACCAGGAATGAATATTTTTAACTGTCAAAATGTAAATATTTGAATTTCGAGAAAATGCGCTTTTTATAGGAACGTTATAGACTACTTTCGAAGGGCATTGCTAATCTAATCACCTTGTCAACAAGTCTGCACAGCTTGTTCACAATTTGCAATACTTAGACATAAACCAAAGGGCAATGTTTCAAATTAATCCTACCCTTAAAAATGCAAAGTAAAATAAGTAAAATCCAGTTGCAACCTACTGGTGTTGCTTAACAGTGGTCAATCTTTTTATCTTATGATACTCAGATATAAAAGCATTCTATTAGAGATAATGATATGTGCTGTTATTTCAGTATTTTTTTAGTTTGGTCATATACATGTAAGTTAAACTACTTTTAGTGCTGAGTACTGAATATGTAATGCTTCTGATACAGAAATGCATACCCCAAAAACGTTTTTGCATTTCAAATTAAAAGCCAAGATATTTAAACATAAAGGTTATATATTGATAACACCTTTAAATCCTTTCTAAGCTTTCCTTCTCATATTGAGCATAGAACTATGACACATCCCTAACTGGTTTTTCTGTCTTATACATTTGTCTGATGCAAAATATGATACGGGCTTTAATGTTAAACGAGTTCACGTTCTATATCCCTAGAGGAAACACTGTTGACGTCTCCGTGCCATTTCAGAAGAGAAAACTACCGTAGGAGGTTATTATTGGTGGTTTTACTAATTTCCTGTTCTTAATGGTTATTATTATGAAGAGATGTGGAGGTTCTAGTGAACAACAAAACATGTCAATAAATGTCGATTTTCTTACTTCTTATTATGGCATGGCCATTTAAAATTTAAACACCAGTCAATTAATGAAATTTGAGAACTTGACATGACAAATAATAAAGTAAAGTTACTTAAGAAAATATAGGTCATCTAAAAGGAAGCAACGATGCGGCATTTTAGTGGTGCTGCCAGTCTCTGTACTCTGAGGATTAAAGATGGGCCCTACGAATACTGATGCATTCACAAGTATCTCAATTTTCCAGTATTAACTTTGCATTCTATCAACATTGACATACTTTTCTGGGATCTTTAAAAGTATAGACTCTCCTCAAATATAACTGAATTTTAATTGTGTTGCGCGCGACAGACTAATAGGAAATGAATACCTAGCAGACTATACTTACCTGTTCGAAAGTTAATGAAAATATCCAAGAGGAAAACGGTATCTGAAGCACAGTTAAAGATCACCCAGTGTATACTTAGGTCGTCGTTGAAGAATGAGATAGCTACAGGTAGAATTATGAGATTGGCTATCAGCATAAGTAACATGAACAGGTCCCAGTAAAATCTGGAAAGACAAAAAAGAAACCTGTAAATAGAAGGCCACAACGGAACAACAGATTGAAATGAATTGAGATTTGGTACAGATGTTGTTTCTACCCAATGTAGTCTTATATCATGCTATCGTAATGTCAATCATAGAGCGATCATGCCAGGAGATGCCTTTTCATAACCATCAACGAATAAGCTTGTTTCGATTTACCGTTGTTTGACAAAGGGGACTATTAATTCTCAGCGAAAACCTACGGTTAATACATTTATCATATTTATTATTATCACTGGGAATATGTGGATATAATATTGGAGTAAGAAGGAGACAGAAATAACCAATTTGACTTCTGTTTCTGCAAGAGGATACCAAATCTGCTACAAAGATTGTTTCGAGTTTCTCCTGCAAATTACGCTTTTTCTTTATTTCAGCAGCATTATCGATTATAGTCTGGCCTTCACTCGTCGGAGAATCCTAACTCGACTCAGCGCCTTCTGTTTTATTCACTGAGTAGTCACAAACCATGGCACTGCTACAATGTACAGTTACCCAATAGAAATCTCGGTCCTCACACAACATATTTCTTAGACAGAAGATAAGTATTGAAATTATTGTATCTATAGATGTATTTGAAATAGTCGAATTTGAACAACAAAAGTACTTCAGCAAAAGGAAGGAAGCGTTTCAATAAAACAGCAGACAGATTACCTCTTTTACATGAGTGCTTTTAGAGCTAGAGTCACGTACATTCTTCTGTATATCTCAATGAAAAATAAGACTAGGAAATTGCAGAATCAGATTTTAGTACGTTGTCTAACTATGCGGTTAGATACTGGCGCTGAGACGTATATTGATATTTCCCATTTCGAACAGCGCAAAAGATAAAATATAATAATATATATTATCTGTATCACAAATAAAATTACTTCTTTGGCAGGCAAAAAACAGTTACACATAAAACCACTTGCAAACACATAAAAGCATTTGCACTAGCCCTATTTCGCTCTGGTTTATTGCTCAGTAGTTAACGCTTTCCAAACCGATATAACAATAATTCCCGTGTGTGTAATCTCTTCGCCCACAGCGAGTAATCAGCTGGTTATTTTTGGTTAAGGCAAGATTTCTACAGGAACCAGATATTGCCATCCATTCAGTTTTGCATCCAGTGAATATCGCATTTAATGTGTTCTCGCATCAAAAGTATAGGTAAAAACCAAACGTGAACTCGCTATAGACTGAAAAACCCCAAGGTTCCCCGTGAATGTTCCCTGAAAAGTGTTGGCCAAATGGCGAAGCTGTAGCACCATACCAGATTTCTTTCCATGCAATCCCCACGCAACACTGGGGGAAATAGTTTGACGTAAGCATTTGTCTTTTTTTTTTCTTCTTCTTCATTTTAGACAAATTCATAGACCATGGGTTTGTACCTGTAGTGATTCCATCCAAATATATTCGTTATGTTCTTCACACCTTCACGTGGTCAGTGATGGCTGTTTATAGTTTTTGCATCACAGTTAATTAATAACCTGTGTGAGTGTTACACTATTTGTCGTGTTGTTTATGTAAGTATGGACTTTTGAATATGTCAACCATGCCAGTATTATTGCCGGGAACAAGACACTCTTACAAAAATGCCCACACAAACAATGGGGATATTCAGGCAAACATCTTTTTAAAAAATGTTACCACGTGTTCAAATGATGAGATACTGCGTAATCAATATGATGTCCACATTCGGTATGATTTTATGTCTATTTTCATGATGTAGGGCTTCTGCTTATAACGATCCTGTCCTTGTTAATTGGCAGTAAATGGAAACCACTGCTTACAGCTACAAATAATAGTCACTTTGTCTGGTACCTTTTGATAATTATTGTGTTCTCAGCGTTCAGACATGGCCATCCCAGCAAACACGTCACGTTCGGTTCACATGGCTAGCACGTTGCTACCACATTATAACGTCATAGCGAAGGATTAACCACGTGGTACCAACGTGACGTGTTTGCTGGGATATACTTTCCGTGAAAGTAAGTTGTACTGCACTTAGAACTGAATTATTTTTATTTTTTCACAGAAATAATACAATAATATAAACATGAGAAAAAAAACAAGAAACCTGCATGCAAATCACATCTCACTCATTTCATGACCAACATAATGGCAAATGATCATGCTTGGAAAATAGCAAGGCCCGAGCTCAAAAAGTTAAGTCACTATGTTGAATCGCACTATTATCTGCGTTACTTGACAGAGGCATTGGGAAATTTTGGCACTGCACATGTGCACGCTTGATGAGCGCTCTGACGCAACTGCCTGATCAATCTCAGCATCCCACTAAGCCAGATACTTTCCTGTTATTGATCTAGCACTACGTGTCATGGAACAAATGACAGACTGCACAAGTAAAAATGAAGCATTCCATCACCATAGAACATGTAAACATTTGCTTTGTTTGAACTGTACACTTTGACAAATTTGCAAATATTTTTTTTCAACGAATAGGGTTGAATCATAAATCTCTACAGTTTTCCCTCAGCACAACACATATACAGTGTATCAAATATCAACACATATTACTCCATTCAATGCTAAATACTTTTTTTCTTATTCATTTGTATCTGTTTTGGGTTAGTAAGGAGAACAAATGAAGACGACCCTTTAACCTACGGCGGATCCTGCGCCTCGCCCCCATATTAACATAGAAGTAGAGAAAGCACTACTTCAATGATATTAAATAATGATTAACGCGATTATCTGTTCATAATATATATATAAATGTATAATCATATGAGCATATCTTAAATGGATCATCACGGTAATCATTCTGTTTAAAAATGCATTGAGCTATAACGGCATTTCGCTTACTTGTTGAAAGTGTTTCAAGCACAATGTACGTGTTTAATGAACTCTCATACTTGAACACAAGAGGATCATAAAAGAACCGTTAGCAGAACTTATTCGAAACGATTTGCATGCAGAGATTTGACTTCAGCTTCTTCCGTGATACATTGTTAGCGGTGACTGGTGAATTAAAGGATGTTTGCCGTCTCACGGGATCCCGAATGCATTTTAAAATACCTATTTCAGGATATTTCCTTTTACTCATGTTTGGTGACACTGGGGATCGAGTGATCAATTACTAAGATGTTTCGATAGCGAAGTAATTATTTGAAGTAAACCCATGAATGTGGCCATATTACATATTTGCTTTTTAAAAATGCACTGTACGAATAGAAAGTTACAGAATGTTATACCACGAAATGCATATGCATATGTAGCATATCTGACATATGTAGCGGAGCAGTGCTAATGTTTCAAAATAAAATGCCTGCAATGCCAGTTTGCTTTGCTTAACCGGAAATAACTACGTATGTCTGATGACAGATTACTGATCAAAATGATAACTATGTGATGCACAAATCACGCTACGGTTTATGTGTTGCCAAGCACTGATCCATACTAAGTTTTCATAAATACTTTTGCAATTAAAAACACCTCCCATTCATACGTTATGCTTGAGGGTGTATTTATCATGTTCGAAACAAATACGGCATGTCTTCAACAGATATCCCTTTTTTAGAATGCACTGCACATAGTAAGATGCCTTGTGGGTTGTCGCAACTAGGAGAGATTGATCATAATCTTACAACAGTCCGCGGTTCCACTCTGGATACTCATTTTATAAAGTAGTAATTATTTTGCTTAGTTCCTAAGCTGAGTGGTGTTATGGCAATAGTTGTCGTGACAAACATGGTAAATTGATTACTGTTAAGAGCTTACCAAGCGGACAAGCTGTGCAGGTGAAACAGACCTTCCTACTAAAACCATGTGTATAATCGACGGGTGATATTCACACAGCATAAACATTTCGGAAGTCCGTATTAACAAACCATCACTTCACCTTCTAGGAAATATGAAAGTATCTTGAATATCATGTAAAAAGACGACTGCTAGGGACCCTAAAAAACTTCTCGTTTTATCCCAAAAAACGTTTGCTCTCTATGTGAGAAATATATTAAACTTGATAACACAACCTATAAACAAGCCCAAGGCGTATTATATCTAATGCCCCTATTTCAAACAGACCACGAATCCCACGAATCGCCAGGAATCAGTTCGTAAAGTTCTTAACAGATTCGTATGTATTCGTAGTCAGTTCTTGCAATTCCTGATCAATCACGAACTGATTACGATTCAACCACGAATCCTGAAATTTAAAATTGTCAATTCCTGGCGATTCGTGGGATTCGTGGTCTGTGTGAAATAGGGGCATAACGCGATAGTTGCCAAAATGGGCCCGAGTTTCGTCCACAAAAGTTTTCGGCATACTGTATACAATAATGTTACGTTATTTGTAACAGTGATTATAAGGAGGGCACAAGTATCAGTAAAAGTACGCACTCCTACTATTCGATATTTTCTGAAGGCGGATCAAACTCATCGGACCACTCGTTTGTGGAGACGTCCCTTCCATCAACCTTAGATTCATCATGATATCGAATGTCGGCGTCATTTTTAAACTCTGTTGACTCCAATAAACAGGTTCAGTCTGGCGAATTTTTAGAACTATGGTTATATCATCCACCCCAAATGTCGAATGAGCATTTGGGAAGGATCGTAATTAAATGCTAGTTTAAAAAATGCAAATGGTTCACGGGGCATTTTTAACCCCTCAGGTACGAAAAGTAGATGACCACGGTTTGTTATCCACTTGGAAACGCGGCTTACAGCTCAACCGGATAGCTCAACCGTTAACAGCTCTGTCACTTATGTGACTGCAACGGCAACAAGCTCATCACAGTCAACGTGAGAGCGTAGCTCAAAAGTTTCCAAACCTGCATTATAGCGGTATCTACAGAACGAATAGCCAATTTGTACAGTTTGAAATCTATAACGATGTTTGAGCATGTTTTCTGATGGGATTCACCATTCAAGCCATTTTGTTATTGTTCCAGCTCTCATATAACATGTTTGATAGGAAACATCAGTTTAAACTGTGTTTTTTTCTCAATTTAGTAGATGGGGTTAGAATGATCTAAAATGATACGAGGATAAACTTATTCAAATATGGAAATATGTCTAACATGTAAAAGTTACTCCCAGTGACCTAATTCAAGTCTCTCTGAGGTATTCAAACGACTTCTGTGGCAAGGCAAGATTAGATTAACAATAACTGCCAGACTATCGACCACCTACAGCTTACCGTTAGGCAAATAATGGTAAAATGTAACAACATTTAATATTCATCAAAATAAAAATATTTTAGGGAATGGTCATAAGAAATATTTTGGTTGTTACACTCGGCCAATTGACAGGATTTATTACATTAATCGATTGAGTTCCTTCTATTGCAGTCACTATCTCAGTTTGGAATCAACGTTTATTAGACTGTTAATATTAACGCTGTCGAGTCCCTTGGTTTTTGGACGATTTTTCTGTTGGTAAATGGAAATTGAAATTAAACTCACGATTATACATAGGACCACAACGCAATTGTGCGCACATACGCACATGCGCATGTGAGTGATAATTACTGAACACCAACAACTGATTCAATGTAGCGGGATTCACTGTGTGCTATATGTGTTGCTTAAAATTCACAGAGATTCACAATCTCTTCCAAAAATAACATGTTTCTTCACATCAAAACTGCTCCGTTTACCTAAGATATAAACATTTTGATGCGAAAACACGTGATGACATAGTGCAGATACCAGAAAGCAGTGCAAGTCTTCATAATGCAACGATCATTAGTTTATCTAAAATCCCAGTGGTTTCCATTGAACCTTCTAAAACCTGCCCATTAAACTGTGTACACACATACAAATTGAACTAAATATGTGAAATCCCGGCTTGTGTTTCCTAAAACACGGCGGCACCGAATCGATGGTGTTCTTTTTGAACAAATATTATGCAGACAACATGGCGAGATAGTTTTGTAAAACAGATCATTGGATGGTGTTGAAGCCGTGGAGACCTTTCACGGCTCATACACACTCATGTTGTTAACGAAAAAGGTGGACTGTGTGTAGACTGGTTCACGATACAGCCCTCAAAGATTACAAGCGCACGAGAATGCCACGTAAATATATGTAAGGTAAACTACATTCAGTATCGGTCTATTTCCAAAATTTTCTCGGGACAAAATGCTTTGAGAACAAACAATATTCTGAAGAAATGAAAACTCTAATGTCACCCATTTTGTATGACTTAACAAAGAGCTGCATGTTATTACTTAACTGGTCAACCAATGTCACCTATAGCGTGCTCATATACCAATAATATTTCGCAAAAAAAAAAAAAAAAAAAAAAAAAAAAAAAAAAAAAAAATCGAAAGCGACCACCAGTCGGTTCACATAAATTAAAACGGATAAAATGTCAATATTTACTTGTCTGCATCTATTTTTTCCCCAAAAAACAGGGTTATTTTCAATCTTTTACCCCACCGATAACCTTACCTATTAAATAATGCTTACGGACACCTTATTTGAATGAAAAATGAAAGCTGTCATATCATTTTCACTGCTTTTGGCTATTTTTAACATTAAATGGAAGTGGATGGCGTATTATAATCGACTTTGAATCTTTATCAAAAGAATATATTATGTTATGCTAATACGCGACAATCTAATCGTTCATTGCATGAACTTATAGGAGCTGAAAGATATTATAAAGGAAAAGCCTCACTTTGGGAGGCTTAATACAAAAAAAAAAAAAGCGAAGCCAATCAACATACACGATTCTTTCTTGATGCAATCAGTATGTATATTATGGGATTCTGATGTATGGCGTTAGGGCAAGGGGTCTTTGGGATGGTATATGCAGTACACAAGCCTTACACATACATGCTTCAGCTGCATGTCCACAACGTTGGCAAAATGCAATCTCGCCTTTACCCAAAGGGTTTAAAAGAGAGATTCTCTTCCACAATTAAGAAAAACACGCTGTTTTCTAACGTAGTGTCAATGAATACAAAATATTTAAGGGGAACTTACCTGAAATTACTGCATGGATGAATAATCCAAGTTCCAGTAGCTCGCTGTCTCTGTCTTTCTTTAATCAAAGCACTTTTGTTTCCAAATAGTTTCATGGCAAGTCTATTGTCTGAGGGTTGAAAAAATGTGAGAATCTGGTCCTTTAGAAAATTTGTCGTGCTTGGGGTATTACTTCTAGTGTCGGATTTTGGTAACAATTCCTCTTTGGGCGTTCCATAGAGACTCGCATCATCTCCAATGAAAAAAGGTTCCGATTTTGTTTTTTCTTTTACACTTACAGGAGGACTTTCTGAGCCCTGTTCTTCATCATTGATCAGATTGATAGCAGGTGATTTATTTTTCGATTTCCCTGATCCAAATCGATTAAGTCTAAGAGATGGAAGCCGCTGAAGAAGTGTTTTACTTTTAGATTCATTTCGATCCGGTAATTGTTGCAATGTGTTAGGTTCCGTGGTAAGTGGAATTGTTGTTTCTTCTGTGACTTCACAACTTTCGTCAAATTCAAGCGTAACTTTCGTCGTTGTTGCCACTGATCCTGGTGTGTTACACGAACTATCCGTCACCGAGCCAAACACGGTTTCAGATTTGCTGGTAGGGGCAGAGGAGGCCGTGGTGTACGCTGTCCTGCCGGAACACGGGGATCCGGTGCTCTCCTTGTAGGAATCCTGACTCAGTTGCCGTTGTGGCGTCGAAGCCATCCCGGCTAGCTTACTGACGCAGGTCAGCAACCCAATTTAATTGTTATGCCTCTCTATCCGCGATGAACTTAAATATTGGGTTTCCTAAAACTGACAAGAAACCGCAGAATCCTGGCTGGCTGAATTACGCCACTGGTGATTCTGCGGTTCCTGTCACTTTTTGATTTTCCATGACAACAGTTCACAGAGGGCGCAAACTGGACGTTGGATAGTTAATATAGCCAATCATTTGTCGTACTCTTTTATGGCGTCATACAATAACGTCTACAACGCAACGCAACGCAACAAAGAGGTCGGTACGTTTGGCTTACAGTTGGCAAAAACTGATTTACTAGTTTTATGAGCAAACTCTTGTCGTCTTGAGGCCCCTGATATGGCTGGATCGATTCTGCAAATCTCTAATCAGCTAAATTCGATGTTTTTCCTTGAATATTAGGTTCATTGAAATAAATCGATGATATAAGAAGAATACAAAAATGACGATGGAGATGAATCCATAGCTGCGTGACTGTCATGTCGGCCACGATATTTCAAGGCGCTATCTCTATGCCAACATATTTTTCTTCTGCATGTAAGGTCAAGCGACGCTTCATATAAACCTGAGTTTTTTGTAAATACACGTTGAAATACTTTCGAAGTCACGAGAATTATTTTCTATGCAATGCAGTTCAAAGATTTTGACACCCCTCTCTCAAAAGTAATCTCAATTGAAAGCAGATAGAAATTAGTAATCACTGTGCCTCTTGATAGTACGCTATGACAAACCTTTTCTTCACCTCCACCCTGTTTTACTGTTCATCCATACAGAGATATTGAAACAGCATGGTCTTTCTTTCACATACCTGAAAGAGCGGATCCGTTTTCACTCCAACATGCCCGTCATCTTCACTCGCGTCACAAGTAACGGTGTCGCCTCTCTTGTAGAATGGAGGCACTAACGGCCCGTTGAACCGGCAGTGGCTATTGATTTCTAGAAAACGTAAGCGCTACCCTCTCTGGTAAGCAAAGCGCTCGGCGTGTGCAATGTACTATGCCGCGGAAAGAGACAGATGGAGAGAGGGAGAGGGAGAAAACGAGAGGGAGAGAGATCGCTGAACGGAAAGACTGCGATTTCTAATCGTCTCCCAGAGGTCGACAGCACTATGAGCTTATTTGTAATAGAGAAATCAATAAGACAAAGCCATTAAGCATCTTGCTGATTTTGGCTTACCTACCTCTTGATAGGCAGATTTAATGTATTGGAGCGGAAATTACAAGAACCCAGCCAGATGGGAATAAGAACCAGGATGTTAACATTATACATTTTCCAATTGCCGTAATCCATATATAATTTTATACCCCTGCCTCATATAACTTTTCCATGGCAACCAATCTTTAAAAAGTGTCGGCAATGAACTTTATACCTAGTGCGCCTGATGGTTTAGATAAGACCTGCTTTCATTTAATAATAATGTTAATTAACATGCATATATTAGCTTCGCCTATCCATGTTACATTATTCCACATGAATAGAAAACAGTTTCATATTGTCCCAACTTTCAATAAAATTGAATGCTTACTACTGTATATATATATATGATGTTAAAACCAAAAATTATGAATGTATTGTACACGAATTTCATTACTGTAATCATAGCAATCAGATTTGTAATGACAAATTTGTAATGACAATATCAACTGTCATGATTCCAATAGCAAGAGCGTTTGGTGAATACTGATTTTCTTTTTTCTTTTCTTTGTATTTTCCACATTAAAATTAAACAGTCTACATCTAATTACCTGAGAGAATGGGCCGAAGAAGGTCCGTTTAACAGTAGGAGTGACCAATAGGGCAATAGGGAAGTCCAATCAAAATTTCTCTTTACGTTTAAAGTATTGTGTTATATTTTATCTAATATCAAATCTGCAAACGTCGAGGTTGATCCCTGGGGTTGTTTGTTAATTACGTCTCTTGGGAGTTAAAGCTTACATTTAACCCTCGTTTTTCCATATTCATACGAATTATATTTTATGTAACATCTATATGTAGATAGTTATTGCGGACAATTTTACTGATTTTATGAGAATATATCTTCAGGTGCTAGCAGGAAATAAAATATCTGAGCAATAAAGGGAAAGCAAATACGTTTTCTTAGCAACATCTGCAAAGAAGCATTTTTGCTGTTTTCTCTATCACAGCGCACTCCTGTCAGATCGATGGTCAGAATTAAATATTGAAGGAAAGCCACTATCGTAGACGCCAACCTCGTGGATCCCCCTTAAAATGTCAATAAAATGATTGAGTAGTCCATGGTATGACTTTCCACAAGTTATATCCAAATACATGTATTAAAATATAAAAGCGCTTTTCCCCATTTTTAAAAAGTATAAAGTATATCCTAGGGTTAAAAGTCACGGCTCCAAGAGAGAGAGAAAGAGAGAGGAGGGGTTAATTCATGCTGGGCCAACTAATACTAATTATTTCGACTGAAATGCTATTCCCCTTATAGAATTCATTAGGCACAAATCTGTACTCGAAGAAATCAAGGAAACAAATCACCCAAACCATTTATCTGGAGTCGTGCTGAGTGAAGTAAACAGTTCTCTTGTCAGTGCTGCAGTTCCAAGGAATGCGAGTCACCAAGTATAGGGGAACCTGCATATGTGGTTTTGGTTTTCCCAATTTTTCTGCCAATTCTTAAATTGTCCTTCTAGAACTGGATAATTTGTTTACAGATTTATATTGGTCTTTAATTCTTTTAAGGAACAAGAAAATAAATTACCACGATGTAATTTAATATATATTTCTTTGTTTGTTTAATTATGTCGCAAAGACCTCTTCTTCTGCATTTTTCTCCAAATATGCTTTAAATTATATTCATATTTTACATTACGTATCATTCAATAGCAATCATTATATCTATGGAAGCATCACACATATTTGAATTACACCAAATAACATAATACATATTCGTAGGCTATATGTCTGTAGCAGCAGGCACGGAGCAGGAACGCACTACGGTTCATCACTTTCCAAGAATGTGACTCGGTGTTGACCGCAGTGACAGATGCTTAGATGCTGCCATCCTAAGAAAATACGACCTATTTTCCTTGGTGTATTCAAACATACCGAGAATGCAGCTAACATTCCGTAGGATGACTAGCGGCCCGCCTGACACTTAAAAACACTAAGTCTTTAAGCTCACTGACCCCACATAACAGCTTTCTTCAACCTTTAAAAGCCTAGCGGGTAGCTACCACTTGCATGGGCGCGCGTGTCAACATTCCCCTAATGAACAAGATAAGATTCCAGATACGATTTTCGTTGCTGTATAATTGGGAAACTATTTCTAGGGATGTAAAGGTTTAAGATACTTGAACGTTTGCAAACCAGAGAAGTCTCCATCAGTTACAGACCCGGTTTCAATGTTGGCATTATTTTTTAATTTAAGGGAAACTTTAAGACTGCATGCCCACAGATTTAGATCGATCCATCTGGATCGACCTAACTCCCTGGGGGTTCTCGCTAAATTGCAGTCAACCGAGCGCGCACCATAGTTAATTACCCCCTTACAGCTTTTAGTAGGCGGGACAGACATTTAAGCCTGTTAAGCTGACACCAATCTAGTGAGACTCCCCAGGGGGATAGATCGATCTAAATATCTATGGGAATGGGGTCTAAAATTCTGCATTTTGGGATCCATTGAAAGATAAATTAAGTTATCATAGGTTGTGGCATTTCAAGAGCCGGTGTAACAGGAATGGAGGTCCTAGGAATGGAAGTCCGGGCTCCGATATGATTAGTACAGGTTAGGATTAGTTGGAGTATTGGGGTTAGAATATGGGATGAATGTCACCTGCACAAAGTAATGTGAAGCGGTTTCTAGCGGAATTCCATTCCTGTTACACCGGTCGGTGAGCGTGCTTCATCCCAGGTACGGGTGCAATGGCCGTGATTTGCAACATCAACATTCAAGGAACGGCGTAACCCTACATCATGAAGTTAGTTGTTTGGATTTTTTGTCTGTAGGGAATGAGACCCGTTTACTTAAGTACCTGTGAATTGATCAAAGATCCAAGTAACTTTTTTTTTGAATCATTAGATAATGCGATTTAAAAAGGCGATATAAGAATATGTATGTATCTATCAAATTTATTGCTTTTCAGGGTCCTCCTGTGAATAGTAAAACATCTGAAACCGCATGAAACGTGTTAATAAAAAAAAAACATCCACAGAAATGAACTGATAGCATTAACTTTGTATTTTAGCTTGCTTTGATACATGTGCCATTTGTTGGTGGATTGCAGTAGCTGCGGCCGTAGGTTAACACATTCCGCCAGTTCCAGTTGAGATCGAACTAGACCCAAATACATGTAGGTCCACAATTAGTCCGATAAGTCTTTATATAATTTCTTGATTTTTTAAAATTTCTTCTCAAAATGCAGCGGTATAAATGTTTTTTCGTGCCCTTGTTACACATTGTCTTACGTTTTTTGTTTCAAATCGGACCTCATAGAGGATCCTTTTCGAAACCATAAGAAAATACATGTGAGTATAAAAACAATGGAAAACGTGAATCGAGACGTAGCAATGTCACTATACGTCAAAACAGACCCTGTGGTGAATACTATAATCCCAAATATGAAGAGCAATGCCATGAAAACTGTCGCCCCTGCGACCAGTGCAAAAAAAGCAATAAAAACGGGGAAAGTTATCGTGCTGAGCGTCCTAGACAGGGGTCCTGCGTTTGGTTCCAACCCTAGTGCTCGTATAAATGGTGCCGCCAGTTCCTCGTGGACGGTCCTCGCGTCTTTTCGTAGCACGGATCTGCATTAAAAATGAAAAATGATTTTATAAATTGTTAAATCCAGTCTCCACAAGTTTATTCCATCAGATTATCGATTAAACCAATAATGTGTAGAACGAAGCAAGGAAACACATAAAATACAGAAATAGCAAAGTGGAGAAAAAACTAATAAAAGAGAGAAGAAAAACAATAAGACTGTTTTGAAGAAGTTTTTTTTTGTCAGCGAATTGTTATCAAACCTATACCAAACATTTAAACCTGCACCTGGTCCAAACTCATCATCTTCGGCTTTCAAGAAAAAAGATATTTACCAACTAAAAAAAACAAGCATTGATTTATTCCATGCATGGGACTATTGTGTCGTTAAATGAATGTTCGCGTCTGGGCCTACTGTATCGATCTGTTTTACTTATCGATCACTCACACATGGTTATTAAGGTGACTCGATTGTGTTGGTTGTATGGATCGTTCGTTATAGTTGTGGAATTATATTGGGTTTGATCCCCTATAGCTTTTGCTGCCGTGTTCGAAAATAGTAAACTGCAAAGTTTCACTGGCCCATGACATCCCCATACTGCATATACGGACCACTTAATAAGTTAGCTGTCAATAAAATACCGTACGGGTACGAATTTTTGAAAAATCAAACCAGGTTGCGAAAGGTCATGAG